CTAGACCCTGCAAGAGCCTCCTGTATTTGATTTAAAGTTCAACTTAGAGATTGAGATACAATTATTTAAGGTAAATTACAACTGTTCCCCTGGCTATGATTGACAGAGCCTGCATGAAAAAAAAAAAACTGGTTTCACTTTCAAACAAAGTGATTTTACTCCTAAATGACAGTGAATAGAGCAGGGGAATTATCTATTCACTAAAACAACTTTATTTAGCTAAATAAATTTAGGTGACTACAGTGTTCCTTTTAGCTATATGGACTATACCAGCAGCAATCACTTATTCTGGCTCCTTTGCATCACCACATTGCATGTAATTAATGGAAATCTATTTTATACAGTTTCTTTCATTGTATTCTGACCTGCCTGTGGTTTCCCTCTTCAATAAATGTGTTGCTGCTTCCTTGCATGTCCACATCTGTCCTGGGCACTTTCTATAAAGCTCTGAATGTCTCACTACTTCTCCGTTGGATCTCCCTATTGAGCCTTGATAACGTGTCTCTGCTCTCCTCTCTTGAACATTCCCTGATCTTTTCCAGTAGTCGGACTGTGGTTCTCCCAATATTTCATTCACTAAAATCTTAATTTTCAGACCGTTCTGTCATATTTAAAGTCCTTTCTGAATAAAACATTCAGTAAGACTTTTCAGTCTCAATTTACGCATATTCTGGTAAAAAAAAAAGAGGGTATTTTAGTGGGGTTCCACAGTCTATAAAAGTAGTGACTAAATGGCTTTCCTATGTCCCATGCCATACCCCTCTATCAGGCTGTACCTTGAGTAATGATTGGTATACTGGCTATTCCAGTAGGATCTCTTGATTTGGTTTTCCTGTCCATGCAGGTTCTCCAGAAGACGATGGGTTATTGTTATCAGATTCTCACAGAACCAACGACAGATCCTCGTAAAAAAGATGGGGCCCTGCACATGATCGGTTCCCTGGCAGAGATTTTACTGAAGGTAAGGTTTAAGTTAAAGGACCTCTATAGATCGGCAGACCACTTCAACTCAATGATGTAGTTCCATGAAGTCTGGCTGCCATGTACCTGCCTATTTTAACCCTGCAACTGAAAACCTTGTTGTTCTGCAAGAATTAAAGGGAAGCTATTGTCACCCAGACCACTTCAGCTCAATGAAGTGGTCTGGGTGCAATGTCCCTGAGGTTTTAACCAGTCACATGTAAACATAGCAGTTTCAGAGACGCTGCTATGTTTACATTGCAGGGTTAATCCAACCTCTAGTGGCGGTCTTCCTGACATCCGCTAGAGGCTCTTCTGCGACGCTGGATGGAAAATTGGCATCCAGCGTGCAGAACGTCCATAGGAAAGCATTGAGAAATACTTTCCTATGGATTGTTAGAATTTGCGCTGCTCTTGCCGCGCATTCAGCTCCACTTGGGAGCTGACGGCAGGGGAGGAGAGGTCACCAGCGCCGGATTAAGGTAAGTGGAGGGGGACCCTAAAGGTGAGGATCCCCCAAGGATTATATAGTGTCAGGAAAACCACTTTGTTTTCCTGACACTATAGTGCTACTTTAAAATGGTTTTCATTGCTGCGTTAACCCTTCTCTAGTGACAGTCATAGTGACAGCAATTCGAGGTGCTTCCGTGAAATGGCAAAATTAGATACGATCTCTCTGAGACCATCTGATTTGCAAGTTATTTTGCTGCTCATGTGTATTTGTCTCCCAATGCTTACCTATGGGAAAACATTGAATTGGCTGACATCAGATTTAGCAACATGCCAGAGCAATAAGTAATCTTTAAGTCTGGCAGTGTTGGCCCCGTCATCTAAATGATTAAGACACTGTAGCGTTAGGAATACAAATATGTATTCCCAACGCTATAGTGTTTAACCGTAGTAATCTCCCCTGAGCCTGGTCTTTGCCCATAGAGCTAAACCCAGAGCATTTGCCAAGAGCCTGCCATCTGGATAATCCACCTATGAACAGCTGAGCTAGTTTCAATCAATCATAACTGTAAATCAAACTCTCCCAATCTGCCAATTTAGGTAAATGTGATACCCAGATATACTGACCATTTTCCTTAACCGACTGGTTCACCCATGTGTATTAGGATGGGGATTTTAATCTGTAGATTTTAGTCAGCATTTTCTATTCTTACTTTTTCATCTCAAACTTGTCTTTTAATTCTAGAAAAAAATCTACAAAGATCAGATGGAGTTTATGCTCCAGAACCACGTTTTCCCACTTTTCAGTAGTGAGCTGGGCTACATGAGAGCTCGGGTAAGTACATGTATGGTGCACATCTCTTGGGCCCGATTAAACATTGCACAGATAGCTGCATAGTCCTTGATAAGTAACATGGCGTCTTCAGGTTGCCATGGAAATGCCACTTTCTGGGTACATTAAAAGATATGATGGCTGGAATGTTGTATGATGTGGTGTAACTTTTTAGAGCCTGTCTTGTCGCGGCTGCAGTGCTGTGTGCACAGTTTGTCTGTGTTTTGGGGGGCAGCTCGCTTGCGTCTTGCATTCTGGCTGTTCCTTTCATACAAATCCTGCGGCCGCAGATCAACCTGAGATCATAGTACTGGTCTAGTGACGTCCCCTGGACAATACCTGCACTGGCCAGCCTCCAATCCCTCAGACACATGACTATCATCCAGTGTTAATGTGCCCACCCCTTTATTAATGTTCTGTAGCTATTGGCAAGGTGAAAATTCTTAATGGTGAATGAGTTCAAATTTACTTTTTTCCGGTTAGTGCTATATATTTGCGAGGAGTGACTGTTAGAATTATGTTCTGTAGATCTTTTTAGGACAGTAGCTAGGTTAAATCATTTCTGATATAGTTTTGGTGTGGTCCTCTATCATGACTTATCAGTTTAACATCATATGTAGATCTAGGAATGTATACAGATGCTGTTCCTTTTGTTCAGGTCCAACATGTAACTGATGCAACAGAGTACAAAGCTTAATGTTAATGAGCATTTCCAGCATATTACCAGTAATAAAGATTTGACAATGTCACACTCTGTTCTTGGCTTAATGTGGGAGATTCCTTTGTTGCGATCGTGGATATTATGTATATTGGATAAGGCACACGTAGCCTCCTCGCTACATAATGCGCATTTAAAAGGGTAAAGCATGTTTCCTCACTCTGTCCTCTCCAGGCATGTTGGGTCCTTCACTATTTCTGTGAAGTCAAATTCAAAATTGACCAAAACCTGCAGACAGCCCTAGAGCTGACCAGAAGGTGCCTGATTGATGACCGGGAGATGCCGGTGAAGGTGGAGGCAGCCATTGCTCTTCAAGTTTTGATAAGCAACCAGGAAAAAGGTACAATTTTTTTTTTCTAAATCACTTGCAATTTTGTCTTTGTTGATGTGCCTGGGTCACGTTTATACCTCAAATCCTCTGTTTCAAACGTTCTTGTTGTGCGTGAATTAGAGGTTACCAAGTTGTCTAACAGGATTTCTGTGAATCCTGGACTACTGTGGTCTCAGGCTTGAAAACCACAAATCTGGATCCTTTTTTTTTATGTGAATGTTCTTTTCTGCTTTAAACGTCCGCACAATTCCTTTGTTCCCGCTGTTATCGGTCATATGAGTTCTTTACTGACCTGAAATAAGGCTTCATTATTGTACTGCATGTGTTTATCTACACTTGTCAAACTGCCCCTTTGTTTCCTTGCTAGGCCCTTTGTCTGATATATGCAGCTGTATCTCTAATTACTGATGTCCACGGTGTTTCTAGGCTTAATTATTTTAATTTTTTTTCCCTCTTCAGCTAAGGAATACATTGCCCCGTATATCCGACCTGTGATGCAATCTTTACTGCACATTATCAGGGAGACAGAGAATGATGATCTCACCAATGTGATACAGAAAATGATCTGTGAATATAGTGAAGAGGTCACTCCCATTGCTGTGGAAATGACACAGCATCTGGTGAGTTTGCAGTCTATGAGAGTATTTGTGATATGATATGCTTTATTATATTTAGTACCAGAAGAAATCCTTCTGCCCAGGTGTCCTCCTTCACCTATCGCATGAAGAGGCTTAGACTTTTTTTGCTTTCTTAAAAGTACTGATCAAGGCAGACCTCTGGGCCATACCAGCAATAACCAGCCTCCAATCCCTCAGGCAAGCATGAATGCTTTCCTGTGCAGTTTAAAAGTGTACACCGATAATTCCAAGTCGGCAAGTCAGTGTGTGGTTTTTTTTTTTTGGTTTTTTTTGGCAATAGGGATTACCTGCAGCAGGAGTGTTAATTATTCCCTCCAGGTTCATCCCTCCACAGCATGTTCCTAGGAATCTATTGCTAGCCCTCAAACAAAGCCTACAGGAAGCTGTCTCTTAACCCAGGGCTGTATGATCCTGCATTGACCTTGATAAAAGCTTCAAAACACGATTTTTATTTTTATTTTTTTTTCCTGTGCCAGTAGTGACCAGAATGTCTTATTTCTCTAGGCAATGACTTTCAACCAAGTAATCCAGACTGGGCCGGAGGAGGAAGGCAGTGATGATAAAGCTGTGACTGCAATGGGAATCTTAAACACCATTGATACTCTGCTCAGTGTAGTGGAAGATCACAAAGAGGTAAGGATATGCTGTTACTGTGTCTGGCATTCATCATCCAAATGGAATGTCTTTATTTTCTTTTCTTTTTTTTTGTTGGTTTTTTTTTGTTTTGTTTTTTTATGCAATTTTGAGAAATCCCTTCCCTTCCTTTTCGAATACCGGGTTTTTGGTTAATGTTTGGGTTTTTGGTTAAAGTTTCCCAATCTTTGTCCCTCTGTAGATTACCCAGCAGCTTGAAGGAATCTGTCTGCAGGTGATCGGAACAGTTCTCCAGCAACATGTACTGGGTATGTATGGGGAGGGTAAACTAGAGCTGTAAGTTAGTAATTACCGGTGATGGTGATATCATGGGCAGAATATTGCCCTAGTCTGCCTACGTAACTGAACTAGGTACAGGTAATGTACGTGGGGAAGATACATTGAAGGGTGGTTTCCTTGTATGCATTTGTCACGGCTGCAGTGCTGTGTGCACAGTGTCAGTCTGTGATTTGGGGGGCAGCTCGCTTGCGTCTTGCATTCTGGCTGCTCCTCTCATACAAATCCTGCGGCCGCAGACCAACCTGAGATCATAGTACTGGTCTAGTGACGTCCCCTGGACAATACCTGCACTGGCCAGCCTCCAATCCCTCAGACATGGTGTGTATTGTCTCTCTTCTGTACAATTTAACAAAGGGATTGCCGCATTGATGGAATGTTGGCGTAATTACTTGGGGTTTATTTGTTACCTGGAATCTCGCTCTCCTCATTTCAGAATTCTATGAAGAGATCTTCTCCCTGGCACACAGTCTCACCTGCCAGCAGGTCTCTGCTCAGATGTGGCAGCTCTTACCCTTGGTGTTTGAGGTCTTCCAGCAGGATGGATTTGATTACTTCACAGGTGAGTGAATAAAGCTTCCCTGAGCAGAGAAAATTTTATATGAAAATAGTAGATATGTTGTCAATGGTCCCTTTTTATATTAAATTTGGAAAGTTCTACATCAAATTCTTTAATTGGGGGGTGGGGTTATAAAATGGTGGATTGTGATCTCCCCCTTTAGTGTGCTGGCTTTAAGTGTCTGTCCTGTTCTGAGTCCATTCCCTCCACTTTCCTGACATTTTCTGTCAGAAGTAATATATGCAATATTAGCCAATGCTACTCAGTAACACAACTACATGAAGTCTCCTTATTGCTTTGTTTAGCAGGCTTCATCTGAATTGGAAAGATTAGATGGTAATTAGTTTTGTCTTTGTGAAACTGATGTGAATTTTTTTTTTTAATGTATAGATATGATGCCCCTCTTGCATAATTACGTCACGGTGGATACAGACACTCTTCTGTCTGACACAAAGTACCTGGAAATGATATACAGCATGTGTAAAAAGGTATGTACAAGAGATACTCTCACACAAGAGCTCTACCAGATGGTCGGGATTTTGGGGGGGTTTAATTGACCCATCGTCAGATCTTTTTAATATGCAGCCTGGCAGGATGTTTGGATTTGAATTATTTTTTTTTTTTATCGCTTCTATACATGTTTTTTATATCTCACATCCTAATCCATTTTTAAAATTTGAAAGGACCAGTATGATGCTCTAGGGGTGAAAAAATATATAAAACCCACAGTAAAATTGTAGTTCACGGTGTTAAAGGGATTCTATAGTGACAGGAAAGCAAACCCGTTTTCCTGACACTATAGCCTCCTGCATTGTTGAAAGGGGCTAAAACCTCTTGTCAGTTAAATCCAGCACCGATATCCCTTGGCGCTAGGTCAGGCTCTGCCCACACTCCTCCCCCTTTAAAATCAGCTGGCAGGGAGACCTAATGCGCATGTGCGGCAATAGCCTTGCTCTCATTTGGATTTCCCGATAGGAAAGCATTATTCAGGTAATCATGCAGAGCATGAGGACGTCAAAGGTCTGTTTCTATTCTGGAAGACCCTCTAGTGGCTGTCTCGTAGACCGCCACTAGAGGTGGAGTTAACCCTCAGAGGTCGTTATTGCAGTTTCTCAAACTGCAATAATTACCACTGTAGGGTTTATGGACAGGGTACATTGCACACAGGCCACTTCAATGAGCTGAAGTGGTCAGGGTACCTACAGTGTCCCTTTGAGTGTTTAATAACAGCTAGGCTGAACTGGGTTAAACAATGAATGTTTTGTTCAGGTACTGACTGGCGTAGCTGGAGAAGATGCAGAATGTCATGCTGCCAAGCTTCTGGAGGTGGTCATCTTGCAGTGTAAAGGCCGAGGCATTGAGCAGGTGAGATGGAAAGTGACATGCAGCACTAATCTGTCTTTCCGACCAGTGTAATAGCTGGAAATTAGGTTGAAGAATTAGCATGGCTCATATTTTTTTCATTCCAGTGTATACCGCTGTTTGTGGAGGCAGCTTTGGAGAGGCTGACCAGGGAAGTTAAAACGAGTGAGCTTAGAACAATGTGCTTGCAGGTGGCCATTGCAGCTTTATATTACAGCCCTCCCCTTCTCCTAAACACGCTGGAAAACCTGCGCTTTCCCAACAACGTGGAGCCAGTCACCAACCACTTCATCAAACAGTGGGTTAGCGATGTTGACTGCTTCCTAGGGTAAGGCCCACCAATACCTTCATTGCTGTCACATCTATTTAAACCTCTCCATGATCTGACTGTATTCTGTCTTTCTACACACCGTAGGCTTTGCAGATTTACTTTAGACTAGTTCTGTTAGTCCCTCTGGTTTTGGTGCGATATGACTCGTTCAGTAGAGTGGCTCATACTGCATAGTTCTGTGACTTCATCACGCGAACACAATATAAGCTTATATTTCCAAGAAGGCATTTTGTCAAATATCTGTTCTGTTGCAACGAATTTAACACACTAGGAGCAGTTATTGTGACATGGAAATTTAATTTTGTAGACACTGGTTCTTTGACAAGTCTCCAACTCTCCAAAATATTTAACTTTTTTTTTCTCTCCTCTTATCAGACTACATGATAGGAAAATATGTGTTCTTGGTTTGTGTGCCCTTATTGAACTTGAGCAGAGACCCCAAGTATTAAATCAAATATCTTCCCAAATATTGCCGGCGTTCCTCCTTCTGTTTAATGGGTTGAAAAGAGCATATGCCTGTCATGCAGAGCAAGAGAACGACAGTGATGATGATGAGGATGGCGAAGAGGATGATGAAGCAGGTATGAAGTTTTGCGTAGGTTTTTTTTTTTGCCATGTATCCTCTACCTGGCAAAATCCTTTCTCTGATTGGAATAATATTGGTCGCGCCAGGCACTATTGGCTCCTTGATTATCAAGCACTTTATTTAAAAACCTATTTGCATAATTACTTGAAACCGGGGGTGCATGGCTAGATTTTTACATTGCTTTAGAAGCAATTTTAAATTAGGTGAAGACTAATGTTAAATACACAAATATGCATTTATAACACGGGTTGTCTCCTCCCCCTTCCTTAAATCCAGCAGTGTCCCATCCTCTCCTCGACTACTGTTTCTCCCTTTGGATATAACTTGTGCCATTGGATGCTTCTCTATAAAGGAGCATTGATTGCCCTATACATGTGTATCTTCATGCTGCATCAACAGGGTTCTCCCAGTGAATAGACTGACCGTAAATGATTTTTCTTCACAAGAGCCTCTAGCAGCTGTCTGCCAGATGTAAGCATGGCCATATGAAACTGCAATGCTGAGCTCTTATAATTGGTCAGTCTGCTGGGACTGCTTCTGGGCTCAAAGACTACTTTAAACTTTAGTGCTTTTTATGTTTGGTGTTACTCCTATTAAAAGGTTTGTAAATTTACACGGCATTTAAAGAAAGAAGAAAATCTTCATTCCCAAATTCTTTCTACAAAGAATAACATGTTTTGGAGTGTAGTACCCATTATCTTGCAATATTTCACATGGGTTCTGAAATGTTGGCCCAAGCTTTAGAATAGCTTGATTTCTCCCCCTGGTTCAGCCAGGCAGCATGCTGTCACTCAGTGGGAAGTCGGGTCACTAATAAAATGTTTTTCCTGCAGAGCTTGGAAGTGATGAAGATGACATTGATGAGGATGGGCAGGAATACCTGGAGATTTTAGCCAAACAAGCTGGGGAGGATCTGGATGATGATGATTGGGAGGAAGATGATGCTGAGGAGACTGCGTTAGAAGGTTATACTACCCTTATTGATGATGAAGACAATCCAGTTGATGAATATCAAATATTTAAAGCTATATTTCAGAGTAAGTTTGTTCTTGTTCACCGTGGAGTGCTTCTTGGTTAACAGACCGTTACTGACAGAGTAGCCATTTTCTTATCACTCAATATTAATTGCAAATGACAGCTGTGTTAACGTTTCAAGTCTTAATTGTGAAATGAACATTTTGCTATTTGTTCATGTCTCTCACCCATTTTAGAGCTTCAAGTTCGGGATCCAGTTTGGTATCAAACACTTACTCAAGGACTCAGTGAAGAACAAGGGAAACAATTACAAGATATAGCGACGCTGGCAGATCAGAGGCGGGCAGCTCACGGTATGTTCTGAACACTGGCGTTTGATCTCCTTAACTACACTCCCAACACTTGTCCATGCACCTATCCTTTGCAGGTAGCTGGTTGTTCCATTTAATATGAATCGCTAAATCTTCTGTCTGGATATTGTTTTAAGATTTAGTCTCCTTATTACTCATTTGTTGGTCAGTGACAAAGTAAGACCGTTGTGTAAAGTGCCCATTGCAATGGGCATGCTGTAGCACCTAGGGGGTCAGTCCTAATTCCATACAGCATTTATTTTTGCCTGCGGTGACTTCTGTACTTCTACTTATGTTTCTACTTATGTTTTTTTCTTGACTTGTTTCGTTGCAGAATCCAAAATGATTGAAAAACATGGAGGGTACAAATTCAACGCTCCAGTTGTGCCAAGCTCGTTCAATTTTGGAGGCCCCGCCCCAGGAATGAATTGAGCATTCTCTTCCTTTCCTGCTAACGTGTGACTGATTGTAGTGAAAACGCTTGTGTTCCTCCCAGTAGTGGTTCCGGAACAGGTTCATGTCATTCGAAGCTCACTCTGAACTAATAATGACTTTGCAATTGGACATCAGAATCTGGAATGTGTGAGAGCGGATCATGCAACTTGAGCCTGGGACAGCGAACAGAGGGTTTATATTTTTTTTCCTTTGACAATAGTAAGAGCTCAACATCCAAGCTTCTAAAACACTGAGGAAATCTGAAGCCTGAGGGGGGGGGAAATGTCACAGAAGCAAAAAAGACCATTAATGTGGGCAGTGGGACTACGTAAAATCTTACAGTGCACATGAGGGCCAATATGCATTTTACTTCACCAGTTTTAGTGTACGAGCAGATGCCATATTACTTGCCTCAAATGTCCATTCTTTTATTGTAAAATAAACAGAGGCGATGTAAGTATAGCCTTTCTGGGGCTAATCAATTCCATTTCCAAATGTACTTGACTGTTCCTTATGTAGAATGTTGAACACTTGTAGCACTACACAGATAATTAAATATGTAAATGAACAGCACTTTTATATGAAAGTATCCTGCTCGCCCCGTGTACAAATTGGCAAATGATTTGCTGTTTATACATTCACATAAGGGATGAACTAGCCGTTTTGTACCTTGGTGACATCTGGGCGGTCACCTTCTGGTTGTGACTTGAATTTGGTTATGTAAAAAGGGGTAATTAATATTTCATTGCTGCTACAATTGGCAACACCCTCTGTGTCCTTTGTCTTTCTTAAAGATCTAAATGTTACGAGTTAAATTTGGATACAAAAGCGTAATGTAGGCACTGAGAGAAACATCATTTATCTGCTGAAGCATGTAATATTGGACATGAAGCTCTATTCTTAGAGTTTGATTGAAGTGTGTGGATGAAACATCTATATATGCAATCTATTAAAATAAGAAAAGAATTTGGCTAATTACGCTTTGGGCTCCAATTTTATTTCTTGAGCACAGAAATCAAGAAACGGCTGCCTGTGCCTGAGTAAGTATTATCAAAGGAAATGTGTTATCGGATTAGAATGCAGCATTTAGCGTGGAAGGCGTAAAAAAAGTAACCCGAATTGACATTCCAAACCCCCTAAGGCACAATTCAGCTTTTTAAAATGCTTTAGGCCTGACTTGTCCCCCAAGTGAAACCTGCAGATTTTTTAATCCATTTAGAAATACCTAGCTGTCAAGCTAATAGAAGTAAGATTTTGTGTTCAGCTTTGTTTGAACTATTGTTCAAACAGAAAAGGGTTCTCATAGAGAATCATTCTATTCGGCAACTGGGATGTTTGTGGCAATTGCTGCACCTGTGCTATTTCTGAATGGAGGTGAAGTACTATAGTCATTGCTGCCGCCCATTAGTAATGGGAGTTTGAGCGCAGGACTAGTTTCTTTGTATTTGTGTTCACTTTTGTATCACGCAGCTATGTTACAATGCTGCCGCCCATCTCATGTGTTCCCTATTAAGAGTTAATAAGCATGTAGGGATGTATATAAAAAAAATACTCCTTTTCTGTCTCATTAGAGAGATGTTTGCCAGAAGCTCAAGGAAGCAAGGCGAATGGTTAGCTTTAGGACCCACCTACAAGGTCTGCCTTGATGTGGCAGGTGGGCTTACCCTCTCATGGCCATTGGAGATAACTAAAAACCTCCATTTGTTTAAAAATACATAGGGATGTGGAAAGAGCGCAGGTTACTTCTTTTCTTTGTTTTTTTTACTATATGTACTTTGGCTGATGTGTACTATAGTCATTGCTGCCGCTCAGGAGTAATGGGAGTTTGAGCGCAGGACTGATCTCTTTGTATTGTTTACAATTGGTACACAGTTGTAATACGACTAAAATAACATGCATACACTTGTAAGGCATAGGGTTAGAGCTTGGTTGAACAGAAGGGGTAAGGGTGTGGGAAGGGAACAAGAGCTCCAGCATAGGTCCAAACAAAACTAGCACTAATAGCTCACTTCTCGATAAGGTATCAGTATATACTATTTGACGTGTATGTGTGCTATGAGACTTTTAAGGGCTCAAGTTGGGTGTTTTGAGGCCCAGGTTTCCCACACTTCATGTCTCCAACTTTGTTTTAGTGTTAAATTACCTGTGACCTGTTCGTGTTGACCTACTTGAGAGTTGTATCTGATAAGCTCCTGCATTGTTGCAGTGGATGTGGAGAGCCATTGTTTAGCAATAAGCGGTAGCGCTGCAATTAGAATATGAAAGATCAAATATTTAGCAGCTTTGGGCTATGGGTCATCGAACAAAAATATGCAATCTATAAAAGAGTTTGTGCGACAATTCCATATGGGATGCACAAGCGTTGAGACCTCTGAGTGTTGATTGCTCGAAGCCAGGACTTTTCCGAAATCTGGCATCCCAAATCTTGTTCCCATGCTTTTACACAAGGAGGGTTTCTAAGGTTTGTAGGTGCGTTTAGCAGGGATTATATTGTGGAAATCTGTTTCTTTACTGGCTCAGCTGTCATGAGGGATTGTTCAAAACCATTTACTAGATTGGTTTGTTTTTGTATGGTAGGTGTAATTATGTGGGTTTTTCCACCGGGAACATAGTTGCAAATAAGAGAACTTTGCTACTTTTGGGACTGTGTATAGTTCATGTAATTTTCAAATTTCCCTTGAGATTGTAAATCAAAGATGTATTTTACGTTGCATCTGTTCCATATTTTAAAATTAAACTCTGGGATTTTAAAAGACTAAGGCCTTGATAGGCGTAGCCAGGGAAGTAGGGTGGCATCTACAAAGGAGCCTTCGTGAGGAGTCCCAAACTTTTAGGGTCGTGATCGTGGTAGGGAGTGCTTGTGTAAGATCTCGCCTTTGGTACCGGGTTAGCCAGACTAAGGTCGATATGTCAATGTTCCGTCCAGTGTCGTTCAATTTGTACCCACTGCAGTGTGCTGGGGCAATGTTGAGCTGACAATAGGCTGTTTAGGATAACCGCCTTGTAATACAGCTCCAGGTTTGGTAGCCCCATACATCGGGATCGTGTGGACACCGCGATCCTAGGCTTCTTCCCATTCTAGACAAGCCAGTTTACCGGCTTTTGCAAAGCTTTTTTGCAGATGGAGCAGCTACTCGGACTGTTCGAAACAGGTAATGCAGTTTCAGCAAAATAACAATTTTAACTGTGGCTATTCGCACAGACCATGAAATAAGTGTTTTCAGTTGTGTAAGGTTGCCCCCTTTGCTTAATTGGGTATAGGTGGAATAATTGAAAGGAGAGCTTAACCCCCAGGAATGTCACGTAGTCAGTGCATCAGGCGTAGGAGTAAGCCCTCTGCAGTTCCTCCCTATAGGTATCCTCCATCCCCACCCCCATAGTTTTTGTTTTTTTGGTAAGGTTTAATTTATAGTAGGAGCATCGGCTATAAGCATGTAGGATATCGTGGAATGCTAGCAGTGATGTAGAGGGGTTTGTGAGGGTTAAGAATACGTCATCAGCAAACAGGTTCAATTTCATGCTTTTGTCCCCGATTCGGACACCTTGGATATGATTTAGACCGAATCATAGCCGCAAGCGGTTATAGTGTTATGTACAGTAGTGGGGACAGGGGGCATCCTTGCCTCATCCCATTTGTGATGTGGAAAGGGTCAGAACTAAAGCTGGTGTTGAAAACTCTGGCTGTAGGATTGCTATATAATGTTTTGGCTACTGCTGTGAATTTGGGTGGGAAGTTACATTTTTCCAGGCCTTTTCGGCATCAACGGATAACATTAGGTTATTGTTGGATATTTTGTGCATGCTATACAAAAGTGCGAGAACTTTAAGTGTTCCATCTGCTACCTGCCTCCCGCTAATAAATCTGACCTGGTCTGAATAATTAATTGCAGGGAGAATGGAAGTCGGCTGATTGGCATAGATTTTAGCTTTGATCTTCACGTCTGAATTCAATAGGGAAATGGGCCGAAAATCATCACATTTAGTTGGGGGTTTGCACGGCTAGGGCAGAGTCGCCACTAAGAATCGATCTGATTTAATTTTTTTGAGCAGATACCGATTAATCTTTGACTTTTTCAGGCCGTTCACCGATATTCTGTACATTTACCATTTTGCTATTTCTTAAGGTAAATGCACAAAATATACATGCCATGTGTGGTGGATGCAGACTGTTTAGACAGAGGAGCTGTGCGTGTGTGTAGTGGATGCCGTGTGTATTTGTGTAGTGTATGTTTAAAAGAAAAAAAAAAACACTACACATTCATTGTATACACAAACCCTGCATTATATGCAGTGTTTCTCCCTGTTTATTTCTTGGTGGGGGGAGAAATATAGCATTTCCTGGTGGTCCAGTGGCATGGAAAGTACATAAGGGGCCCGCAGCAAGTGTTTATTACTTACACTCCCTTCCGCTCCCTGTGTAAATCTCGCGGCTAGCGTGCTGGGCGGAGCGTTGTCATGGTAACACGTGGCAACGCTCTGACGGCCATGGGTCTCGTGAGATTTACACAGGGAACTGCTGGGAAGTTAAGTATGCACTTGCTGCGGTCTCCCGCACCGCCGTACTTGTAATGGGCCCGGCGGTCCTGGTATGTATTATCGGCATCTCTATTGGCCGGTACCGATGTTGCTGAAAATACCGATAATCGGTCGATCCCTAGTCCCCACGTTCGCCTCTACTTCAGATAGGATAACTGGGTCTTGCAGTTGGCAGATTTGATCTTGTTAATTGGGGTAGGCCTACTTTGACATGAAAGATGAAAATGTATTTATACTTACCGTAATTTTTTCTTTTTGTGGTCATAGGCCATGGCAGCACAACAATGGGTAACTCCTCCCTATCCCTAAATATACACAAACTAATTAACAATAAGGGTACAAGTACCTCATCCCTAAGTCTTGTTACCAGCAATATCCCAGGGTGGGATCTTTGTGCTGCAATGACCTATGACTAGGAAAAGGAAATTACACCACACAAGTGAAATCATAGCAATAATCAAACTTTTGCGTTTGATGCAGAAAGAACAGTTTTACCAAACTGATCAAGTTGACTAGCTTTCATGTCTATTTGGTAATGTCTTATAAAAGTGTTTGTAGAGGACCAAGTGGCTGCTTTCCAAATAAGTTCTAGTGATACTTTAGCTGCCGCTGCCCATGATGAAGAAAGGGACCTTGTAGAGTGAGCCTTAGATCCTTCTGGGATCTTCATTTTAGATGCTTTGGATGATAGCAGATACGATCCATGTGCTGATGGCTGCTTTTGGATGCTTGAAGGCCTCACCTGGACCCGTTAGGAATAATGAACAATCTTTGAGAGATCCGCCATAAGGATGATCTTTGCAGATAAATTAACAGACATCTCACCAAATCTATGGAAGAGGGATCGGATACTTCTCCGTTATCTAGTTCCTCTGAATGCAGTGCTGGGAGAACTATCTCTTTGTTAATGTGAAAGGCTAAGATAATTTTTGGTTGAAATTCTGGAACTTTTATTAAGATTACTCTATCTTTGTAGAAGACTGTGAAGTGTTCTTTAGCAGATAGGGCATGGAGTTTGGACACCCTTCTACCCGAAGCTAAGGCCACCAATAGAACTGTCTTTATGGTGAGTAAATGAGGAGAAACCAATTCTAGAGGTTCAAAAGGGTGACAACTCAGGGCTTTTAAAACCAGCGGTAAGTCCCATGGAGATGCAAAAGGCTTAATAGGAGGCTTTATCTTTAGAACTGCTGACATGAATCTGGTCACATCTGTGTCAAAGGCCCATTTGTGGTCAGTAAGGGCCGAAAGAGCTTTAAGGTATTATAGCCTTAATCTTTATCAAGTCCTAGTTGCAGGAATTCCAGAATATCTTTAGTAGAGGCTGTCTGACCATCTGTTTAGACGTTTCCCATGGGGAAAAGACATCCCAGATTCTGTAATATGTGGTGGAAGTAGAGCGCTCCCTAGCCTGCAACGGAGTATTGACTACCGATTCAGAAAACCCTTTTTCTTTTAACCCTTCCCTTTCAAATTCCACACCATCAGATTGGGGGAGGCCGGATCTGGATGGAGAACTAGGCCGCCTTGTAGTAGAGAAGGAATCTTTGGAAGCTGCCAAGGTTTTGCTTTGCAGAGACTCAACAGTAGAGGAAACCATGGTCTGCGTGGCCAAAAAGGAGCTATGTGAATGATGGATACTTTCTCTTGTCTCAACCGTTTCAGAAGTGGAAAGATGAGTGGAGTAGGAGGGAATGCATATCCTAGGTTGAATAGCCATTCGCTTGACAGAGCATCTCTTCCTATTGCCTGTGGGTCGATACTTTTGGAGAAGAAAATGTACTTTTCTATTCTTGTTTGTTGCCATTAGGTCTACTTGTGGTATTCCTCATCTCTCTGTTCTCATCTTGAACAGACTGATCAAATCCATTCTCCTGGGTCTAATTCCACTCTGCTTAGGTAGTCGGCTATCTAATTCTGTATTCCGGGAAGATGAACTGCAGATATACCTGCTAGATGTATCTGCGTTAATGACAGTGGTCTCATTATCACCATCATCCTTTGACACCTGATTCCTCCTTGATGGTTCATATAGGCAACTATTGTTGTGTTGTTTGTTCTGATTTTGACCCATTTGGGGAGGAGCAGTGGAAGGAAATATTTCAGAGCTTTGAGTGCCACTATGAGCTCTAAGAGGTTGGAGAGAGTGTTTGTTGCTGGGAGATACCATTTTCTTTGTATGAAATGGTTTTGAAGATGAGCTCCCCATCCCCATTGACTCGCATCCATAGTTATAACAGTCCAAGGGATGTTCCCCAGGGGGAATCCACTGGACAGGAACTTTTTGTGAAGCCACTACATCAGGGACTGATGAACCTAAGGAGGAATGTTGATTGGCTGTTGTAGGTTTCCAGTTCTGAATTGGTGAATAAAAATTTTCTGAAATGTTCTCGTCCTCCATTGTGCCCATCTTGTGAGACCTATGGTTGAGGACATTGAACCTAGAAGACTCGTGCATTTCTCAGCTGAAGTTACATTGGACGCCAAACATTTTCTGACTTTCCTTATCAGATTTGTACCTCTTTTATGGAGAAAGCTGGACTGTTCCTTTGAGTGTATTGAACATGTCTCACAAATAATTCATGTTCTAAGATGGTTGTAGATGACTTTTCTCCATGTTGATCTTCCATCCATGAAGTTAAAGGAAAAGCATAAGGATTTGCCCATGGATCCGAAGGGTGTCATTTTTCTGCCAGTATAAGGATGTCGTCTAAGTAGTGGTAAATGGCTATGCCCTTCTTTCTGAGTTCTGCAATTAAAGGAACACTGTAGTCACCTAAATTACTTTAGCTAAATAAAGCAGTTTTAGTGTATAGATCATTCCCCTGCAATTTCACTGCTCAATTCACTGTCATTTAGGAGTTAAATCACTTTGTTTCGGGGCGGAGCCTAGCGCTCAAATGGAATGGCCGCAACAGATTAAAGCTCTGGCAAAGGAGAACAAAAGACGGGACAAAACAATACTCTAAATACACTACTGAAAGTGCAAACTATCCACCTTGATACACTTGGAGGGTAGCTACAACCTGATGCCTTTCTTATTCCCGCAACCCAGCAGGAAAATACGTTGGATGCCTGGGGCCTACTCCAAGCTTCGCAACACACAGTCAACGTGGGAATTACCGAAGTGGCCAGAATCATAACTATACTCCCCTCCACACCAGACCCTGCACCCCCCACGGACCACCGAAGCCATGGGCAGAAAAACACAAAAGACACCACTGAACACAAACAAAGACACTCAGGATATAGGCGCAATGCTACAGCGCCCAACTATCACAAAGGTGGCGCAGGGGCAACCCGAGGGCCCGAGTAAACACGAGGGACTTGAAGAGAGGCCCACAGCCACCACACATACCAAACTGCACACAGCGGAGCAGGTACCGGGACCTTAACAAACTCCAGCCACAAAACAGGACACGAAATGAGGCAGCTGCATGCCGCAGACTTGGACCTACTCAAAACGGAAATTACGGCATGTACTCAGGCCTCTGAAGAAGACATCCTGGATCTAAAACAGGAGGTACAGGGCCTGAAAGAAACCCTGTATCAACTACAAACTTCCCAGACCCCGCTTCTAGCTAGAGCGGACCAGGCAGAGGACCGCCACATGCGGATAAATATTAAGATAAGGGGCATCCCCGACTCTGTAAGCCTAATGGAATTGCCCTATTACATCAGGAGGCTCACCACTTCAATAATGCCACACACACAAGCAATGAAACTCCCCTTTGAAGGCTTCTTCTGTATCCCGAAGCCGAGGCAAGCACCACCAGGAGCCCCGCAGGACGTTATAGTCCAATGCCACTCGACCACCGATAAAATCCAAGTGATGACCACAGTCCGGGGCAAAACCCCGCTCAACTTTGAAGCCGCGCAACTAACATTCTACCAAGACATCACCTGCACCACAATGCTATGGCGCCAATCGATGGGCCCTGCGACCAGCCAATTACGCAATGCTGGCATAGAATACCTGTGGGCACTGCCATGCACTCTACTAGTCCAAAGATGGGAGCACGAAGAGACTGTCCACACTAAAAGATGCAACCCTATACCTACAAGCTCTGTGACTTCCCGCGCCGGACGCGGAGACAGCAACTACCTCATGCTCACACGCCTAGGACCCGGAGAGATCAGTGCCCTTTACCCCGAGAGGTAACGAACGCCCAGCGGCCCCAACCTGAAAGAACTGTATTAACCAATATAAAGATGTACCACACTGTTGAGTGAGGACTCTTAAGTTATAAGCACCCCGCTTACAAGTTATCGATTTGTCTGTTCTGTTTTGTTTAGATTCAAAATGACTTATTGTCTGTTAGTTTGGCTCAATCTACACCTACAAAGTTATAATATGATATAGGTCATATATCGCATACAGGTCAAATGCATACCGGCACACTCTTAAGCTCCACACACAAGGGCACTGGAGCAACTCCAGAGACGCACTTCTCCCACCCTCAAGGGAACCTGACAGGAGATAGGATCCCCAAGTAGGCACCCCCCCACACACACTAGACACCTCTAATAGAGTACACCCTCTAACGAAAGTCACAGACGCTGACACACAATTCCTACCGGAACGACAGACACATATTACTATGCTAAAGTGCAGAGAACAAACAGCCCGGCAGGGTGCACGACACTTAGACAGCACACATACACCACAACTTGGCACCCGAGCAAACAACCAGCCTCACCCCATAAACATAAAATACGTGCTAGGAATATTACCACTGCATTATATACCTGCAAATGTCAATCTATCTTAATGCTTACACTGAATGCAAATGTTCTACCTTTTGTCAAAAGCAGCACGTGAAAAATAAAGAATTAAAAAGAAAAAAAAAATCACTTTGTTTCTGTTTATGCAGCCCTAGCCACACCTCCCCTGGCTATGATTGACAGACCCTGCATGGGAAAAAAAACTGGTTTCACTTTCGTACAGATGTAATTTACCTTAAATAATTGTATCTCAATCTCTAAATTGAACTTTAATCACATACAGGAGGTTCTTGCAGGGTCTAGCAAGCTATTAAAATAGGGGATAAGAAAATCTTAATTAAACAGAACTTGCAATGAAGAAAGCTTAAATAGGGCTCTCTTTAAAGGAAGTGTTTATGGAAGGCTGTGCAAGTCACATGCAGGGAGGTGTGACTAGGGTTCATAAACAAAGGGATTCAACTCCTAAGTGGCAGAGGATTGAGCAGTGAGGCTGCAGGGGCATGTTCTATACACCAAAACTGCTTCATTAAGCTAAAGTTGTTCAGGTGACTATAGTGTCCCTTTAAGACTACCAGAACTTTGGAGAATTTTCTTGCTGAGACCAAATGGAAGGGCACAGAAATTAAAATGTTCTTTTTCTACCGCAACGATGGGGATATGAAAATAGGCATCTGCCAAGTCTATTGAAATCGACCACTGACCTGGGAAAACTGCCTTTATGATGGATTCCATCTTGAACCTGCGGATATTTAGGAAATCATTTAACCTGTGTAAGCCTTGAGGAATATATGGGAATAGAAACCTTGACCCTGTTGAAACCGAGGAACTTGGATGATGACACCTTCTTCCTGGAGAGTATAAATAATTTCTTTTAAGGCTTTTCTTTTCTCTTTTTCTCCTGGCCATTTTGTCATTTGAAATGAGTGACTTGGAGGAGTCTTTTTATAATATTCAATACCCATCTGTTTGTTGTGGATTGCTCCCGCGCTTTTGGGAATAATATCAGACGTGCCCCCACTCCTCCTGACTGGGGGGACCTGTCATAAGGATCTGGGATTCTTATGGAATGAAGAGCCTCGAAACTTTAGAAACATTGCCTGCGTTTTTAGACTATTCAATTTGTAATGTGAGCAGTCGTATTTTTGTAGAAGGGCGTGTAGTACGGGGATGGATTTAAGCGGTTCGGTCAAGGAGAGCATGACATTGTCTGCAAACATCGTAATTTTGTATTCTTTGTCTTTGATTGTTATTCCCTTGATTGAAACATCATCCCGTATGGCTTGTGCCAACGGTTCAAGGGCGAGAATATAGAGAAGAGGACAGCAGGCAGCCTTGCCGTGTGCCATTCGTGATGTGGAAGGGTTCTGATACAAAACCTTCATTTGCTATTCAAGCAGAGGATGTGGAGTAAAGGGCTGATATCATCATCAGGAATGTGTCAGGGTCTTACCTGGGTTGGGGGTCTGTAGCGCAGATATGTTGCTCACCCTTGCAGATAGCCACAGGCCAAGGTGGTCAGGTAAGAATTCACCCGGCCTGTGGGTCTGTGCACGGGGGCTGTGCAGGATGAAGTACCAAGTCGCAGGACAGGCAAGGACTCAAACAGCAGGATCGTCAAAGGATAGCCGAGGTCAAAGGATGCCAGAAGACAGGAACAACGAGGAGTAGCCGAAGTCAAGGGATGCCAGAGGTCAGAGTAAACGTAGTCAGAAGCCAGGGTCAATAACAAGTAGCAGTTCAAACAACAGGAACACTGGTACAAAGCACACAACAGGATCAAAGACTTGATCCTGATCACAGGGCGAGGCTGAGTTTAAATACCCTGCTAATGTCTGATCAGGTTCAGGTGCAGCACAGCCAAATTCAAGGTACAGCCCCCAGAGTGATAGACAAGCCAGGATGAACAGGACCGGAATGACTTGCAGAATACCAAAGCTGCTGTGGCTCAGAGGTAGGAAGCAGGACCAAGACTGCGAAGTTCCCCGGTTCAAGTCCCTTGTTGGGATCTCCACGGGTGACCACGTCTAGCCGTCTGTTTGATGTGGCGAGAACTGTGACAGAATGTAGGAGGGAAATACAATTTTTTGCAGGACTTCGGATAGAAATTGCAATGCAGTTGGTCGAACGCCTTCTTGGCTTCCAGGGACACAAAGACCCTGAGTTGGCCAGAAGGCGACCGATCATATAGAAGGCTGCACATCTTCCTCGTGCCATCTGCTCCCTGTCTCCCCCTCACAAATCCCACTTGGTCTGGGTGTGTCAGGGAGGGGAGAATAGGGGCTGCCCGGGTGGCGTATATTTTAGAAAGGATCTTCGTATCCGTGTTTAACAATGAGATGGGTCTTGGGTTTTTGGGATGGTTAGGGCGTTTTCCCGGCTTTGGCAGGGTAACTATGTGTGCTAACAACATTTCCTGTGGCATTATCCCAGATCGGACTATGTGGCTCAGCGTGTGCACCAGATGTAGTGCATCACGATAGCATTTGTAGTAGTTGTTTGTGAATCCTTCAGGTCCCGGCAATTTTCCTGAGGGCAGGGATTTTATCGTTTGCATTAATTCGGTCAGTGAGATTGGGCTCGTTAAGGAGTCTTTTTGGGTTTGTGCTAGGGTTTTGAAATGTACTCCAGAGAGGAAGTGTCTAATGTCACCCTGTGTCGCTTGATGGGTATGCGAGTCCTCTTTTAAATTATAAAGGCTTTGATAGTATCCTGCTATATCTGCATTTGTCTTGTGGGTTATAGATTTTCTCCCCAGTGCTAGTCAATAGGTACGGGATCTTTGATTGGGCCTGTCTGAGTCTCAGTTGCGACGCTAATGTTTTGCTAGCCCTGTTGCCTTGCGTATAGTGTCTCAGTTTTAACATTTGGAGTGTGTAGGCTATGTTTTGTAGCAGTAAGTCATTCATCTTTTTCGTGACCTCCGTGATCGCCGTCTGGGATGAGGGGTTAGGGTTCAGAAATTGAGCGTTGGTGAGGTCTCATAATTGCGTCAGTAATATGAGGTATGATTTCTGGGTGCGGTGTTTAAGGTATGATGCCCTGCTGATGAGCAGCCCTCGAATAACTGCTTTGTGTGCTTGCCATGTGGTGGTGGGTAGGAGTTCGGGATCATTGTTTGTGCGAAAGTAATCGTGTATATCTCGCTCTAGTTTAGTTTTGAAGTCTATATTGTTCAAGAGGGCATTATTTAGGAGCCACAGGGGTTTCCCTCTGTGTTTGTACGTGTCGTGTACCGTGAGGGTCACTGGAGCATGATCTGACTATACTATGTCTCCCATTTGGCAATGATCTACGACTTTACTCCACTCCAGTGGTATGCGGCCAGATGGCGATGTGGTAGGCGTAGATCTGTGTTCCGCAAACTCCCAGGACTGTAGTCTGCGAAGGCCCTCCTCGGGCGAGGTTACTTTTGTTACCAGCATTTTGATTGGAAATCCCCAACGGAATCTAAGGCCATCAACAAGCAGCATATTGGCGACTTTAGAGAAATCTTTCCTTCATTTCAAGGTAGAGGCAGAGATGTCTGCGAATAGTTTGATAGTGGGAACGTCCTCCGGTGGTTTGCTTCTGTTTCTGCTGGCTCGCAGAATGAGCTCTTTGACGTGATAGCAATGTGCCCGCATTAGCACATTCCGTGGGGCAGTGTCAGGTAGGAACTGTGGTCGTGGCAGCCAGTGCACTCTACAATGAGGAGCATGCCTGCCAGAATGTCAGGGGCATGTGCCTGAAGAAGACCTCTAACATAGACCTGCAGGTTTTCCGGCAGTACAGTTTCTGGAATCCCTCTGATGCGCAAGTTGTTCCTGCGTGCTCTGTCCTCGAGGTCTGTGTGCTTCATCTCCATTGTGGTAAGTTTCTGTTCAATGTGTTTCACGTGGGTGGCCAAGTCATTGTGCGCGAAGGTGAAGTCCTCCATCTTGGACTCCACGTGGGAGGTCTGTTTACCAAGTTCTTGTACGTCTTTTCGGAGCGAGTCCATCGAGTGCTGCCAGGAGGTGATCAGCTTTTGTGACATTGCGTCTAGCGGTTGTTGCAGGTGGCTTTTAGTAAGCTTATCAAGGTCTGGGTCGCTCTCCGCCAGAGCGGCAAAATCAAGGCCGTCTGTGCTGGCGCCACCATCTTGGGACCAGGCCCGCAGGTCCCCAGGCTCTGTTTGCTTTTTATTGCCAAATAAATGTAGTTTCTCTGCCTTGGAGGTGCTCTTCTTCCATCTCTGCTGTGCCATGTTGTTTTTAGCGTCATTAAGGGTGTCCAATTAGGTGTGATGTAGACAGATTGTTGACCCATGGCGCCAAAGCTAGGGATCAAGCGTCCATTCCGCTTGGCAGTTAGCCACGCCCTCGATTAGGCCTATTCTAAACAGAACATGGCTTTTATCTGGCCCTTCACTATGGTGTCCAAGCCATGCCCCCACACTGGTCTTTACTAAATGTAATTTTATTTCAAATTGATCCTTATGAAACTGACTAAAATGTTGATACTGTGAATTAACCAATTTTTAAATAAATTGAGATTTACTAGAAGATAAGTGAGTGCTATCTTTCGAAGTACCTTATTGTTTTGAGGCTGGAAGTGCAGGACCATGAAATATGCTTTATTTTCTAAATATGTATAACTTATGCACTGACTGAAAATTCAGCAGGAATTACTGTCTGTAGTCGAATCTAAATCAATTGCCCATGTCAATGTTTGAAACCTGGAAGCTGAAAAATGTTTTTGCTGGCGAATGTAATGTGCATTTATACAAGATACTACTATACAACAATGTGCTACAATGAAAATGTTTATTGGCATGTACCATAGTAACATTGATGGCATTTCTATTTTTGTGTTACATGTTCAGTTTATTCTTTCTTAAAGGACCACTCTAGGCACCCAGACCACTTCAGCTTAATGAAGTGGTCTGGGTGCCAGGTACAGCTAGGGTTAACCCATTGTTTTAGAAACATAGCAGTTTCAGAGAAACTGCTATGTTTATGAATGGGTTAAGCCTTCCCCCAAAGCCTCTAGCGGCTGTCTCATTGACCGCCGCCACAGGCGCTTGCGTGCTTCTCACTGTGATTTTCACAGTGAGAGCACGCCAGCGTCCATAGGAAAGCATTGATAATGCTTTCCTATGTGACCGGCTGAATGCGCGGGCATCTCTTGCTGCGCGTGCGCATTCAGCCGACGGGGCGGAGAGGAGGAGGAGAGCTCCCTGCCCAGCGCTGGAAAAAGGTACGTTTTAACCCCTTTCCCCCTTCCAGAGCCGGGTGGGAGGGGCACCCTCAGGGCACTATAGTGCCAGGAAAATGAGTATGTTTTCCTGGCACTATAGTGGTCCTTTAAGCACTCTTTCAGGAACGAAATTTAAAAAAAACCTTGTGCTTCCCGCAGACTCAGCACAAAACCTCGTCCAAAAGCTTAAAAAGGCCTGAAATATGGGGGAAAACGCCCCGATCCGCAATACCCTCACAGAACTGTTTAACGAACGATTGAGATGCCTGAGCACAACTCCATTGACTTTGTCAGGGCACTGAGGCCAAGAAGCCCACCGGAAGCACCTCCCAGAGACACCATATGCTGCTTAGCCAGCTTCCAGTTAAAGGAGGACATCTTGCGGAAAGTCCAAGACACAGACCAAGTTCTACTAATCGGCATGCAACTGAAGCCCTACCCGGACTTATCCCCAGCGACCCTGGCATACAGGAGGGCCATGAAGCTCCTAACCTGAATACCCCAATCCAACAAAGTGAGATATCGCTGGAACTTTACCACGGGACTGCAGCCAAGCACCCCTAAAGGCCCATTCATGGTAAAGAGCCAGGAGGAAATAGCAGACCTGGTTGAAGAACTACAGCTCCTGCCTATCAACATGGCCTGGCCAGACCCGATGGCCTTTTACACATTTCATCCTGGGACTCAAACCACGACACCACAGACTGTGGAGATCCCGTGCACAGGCCATCTGACCCTCTGAGGATGCCTCCTAAGACAGAGGGGTCCACGGGTGCCATACCTAACCGCAAGTAATAATGTCTGTTTCTTTGGACTGAAGGCCCACACCCATCCACACTACTGACCAATATAGTACATGCTGTGCTGTGTATATATGTTTGCAAGAGGCTGCGGGGAGAGTGGGGACAGGGGTCGGAATAGATGTATGGGGGTCAATTTATACCTAGCCTTGCTTACAGAGGCTCCCTTATACACCGCCAGGAGTTACCATGCTTAAACCTTTATGGATTCGACACCTAATACGCACCCCCCCCATATGTTCTAACTATCATCATGGTTGTTTTGAGGGAGGAGGTTTGTGCCCTGACGGGGTTGCGCCGCCATGGCTCTCCCAAACTCTGTAAGGACCTTTTTTGGAACAGGGTAGCGGCACCGGCAGGGCTCCTTCGGGGGACGGGTCTCAGAGGGGACTGGGGGACACACAGGGGATCTTGGCACAAGATCATTCACAGGGCCCGGGTGGAACCCAAGGGGAGGGGCATTGGCATGGATGGGGCTTCAGCCTGGGGGCCATAGGGAGGACAACAGCAATGAGGGGGGAGGTGGGTATGGCACATGGAAACAGAGGGATGCTTTCTGCAACCTGTACGCGTACTTAAATTTACACCATTAGGAGAATGTACTACCTAAGTGTATGTCGATGCACATCATTCATTTTGCACGTTGGCTATCTGTAAAATTGTTACTGGGATCTTGGAACCCCACGAAACTGCCTACCAGACCTGCATATAGGGACTGAGACACAAGTATCACCATTTCTAAAGGGCAGGTGGGAGGTACGGACCCTGGAGACTACGGGTTGGGTAACATTAAGTTTTGTTTCAGTTTTCAGTAATATGTTTTAAAGTACTGAGCTATATAGATACCACAGCTCAACAGAGCTGACCATTTTCTTCACATTTACTCTGGGCCATCTTTGAAATGGACGAGGATTGTTTACATGTAACTACACCGCTATTAGAGCCATACAAGGGGGACTTGAGACTCTGACGAGGTCCAGTTTTGAGAGACAAGTGTGAGATCAGTGGTGCCTGGAGTATTAGATATCTTGGCGCTCTCGAACTAGATTGGCGCTGAGGCTCCCTGCTTCCTCCGGTTTCTCCCACACCGCAACCCTGTGCAGCGCCTGGAAAGAAATGGAGCTCCGATTTCACTTTATCTTCAACTCCTTCTGGGAGAAGCTAGAGGCCCACATACGACAGCTACAAAGCCCGACACGGGTGGTCACACATAGGGATGCAGTAAACTCCCCAGACTCCATGCCATGAAAGACTGGCACTGGAGAAGAACCCTCAGATCAGACCTCGGGGGCCACACTAAGAGCAGCAGCAGCAGCCCTACTTCGGCTCTTAAGGCCATGGGAGTGCCCATGACGGAGCATATAAGACTGCCTTACCTGCACATAGTGAATCGGCAGGGGTCCCAGAATGGTGGCAGCATCCAGTCGACCCTCAGGGATCAGCAGCAGCCCACGTCCGACATACGGGGTACCTTCGGTATGATGACTCTGCATACCACACCAAGCGTGCCTCCTCTCCACATTGGGACTATACAACCCTGGATTTTCGGATCACTGGGACTGATACACAAAACCTTACATAGGGATGCCACTGAGGCTTAGCAGGGCATCGGCTGATCCTAAATCCAGGCATGGGGTACCACACAGGCAAGGGGCCCGCCGCTTCCTATACATAGTCTCAAGACATACACTCAGAAGGGCTTCTTGTACAATTTACTCTAGTGAATAGGCATACTGCACGCACCACTGCTCACTGGACCATAGCCGCAGGACAAGTGTCCTTAACTACTCAGGGGATCCTTGGGGGGCACTACTCCTTGTTAATCGACTACAAACTACCATAGGTTACCTCACATCACTCTAGTTACCCTGTTGTCAGTGTGCATAACCTGTTTATCTTCACGCTTGCTAATATTGAACTGCTGACATATCTACTTACGATTGTTTATATTATTCTATAAAATTGAGCATGTCCGGGGCGGAGCCTGACGACCAACCTGTACAGACGCCATCTTACACAGCTCCCGGATTGCCGACCACAAACTTGCAAAAATCTCCCTACACATGGGGCATCCGCCAAAATCAAGGGCATATCAAGCACCACGGTGCTTTTCAAGCCGCCAGGCAACCCAGGCAGTGGCGCAAAACCGCGGCCTACTGCGCCACACCAACCCTCAGCCTCGAGGCACTCCTCGGTGGACGGGGAGCGGGTCCCGATCACCCAGCCTACCCCCTGCAGGACGCACCATGGGCCGACGCACCCCTAAACCCACGGCTGGGAATAATGCCCAAGGTAGGGACATAGGGCAAATGCTCCGACCAGTGCAGACCGCGCCAGAATATGCGGATCCCCCGCCAAACATGGCCCCCGTCCCGGAGACAGAGGGAGTGGAGACCCCCCACACACAAAACCCCCAGGTGGGACCCACATCACCCCCAGCCTCGCCAGAGGACTCCCCCACTACTAAAGGGCACCTGAAAGCCCTCCTGGCAGACATACAGAAGCTGCTGGCTGCAGATGTGGCCCTGATTAAAAGGGACATGCAACAAGTCACAGACCGAATTACACATGCAGAAAGGGACATAGCAGGAGTCCATACCACTATGACCACCCTGAAAGACTCAGTCCAACAGCTGCATATGGAACATGTCCTAGCAACCCAAATAATGTCCCTTGAAGACAAGCAACGCCGAACACATATAAAGATATGCGGCATACCCAACACAATCACCACTGAAGAACTGCCGCACTACACGCGACGTCTCTTGTCTACAATCCTGCCACAACCAATAGCTAAGAAAATCAAACTGGACGGTATGTACCGTGTAACAGGCTCAGCCCGCACGGCACAGGGCACCCCCAGAGATGTCATCATGCGATGTGTCACCATACATGATAAGATTCAAATAATGACTGCCCTGAAAGGCAAAACGCCACTAGAATTTGAGGACGCAAAGTTACTATTTTTTCAAGACCTCACCAGAGCCACGTTACTTAGACGTAAATCCTTTGGCCAAGTAACGTCCACCCTACGCAAAGCAAACATACCATACAGATGGGGTAACACCGGCTCCTTACTCGTTCATCATGCGGGGACCACACACAGTCTTACCTACCCCTTGGGAGCCCCAGCCTTCCTGTCTGCAATGGGACTACAACCGAGTCAACCACCTAATATAGAGGACAACCAAAATGTAATCTGGGACCCAACACCCAGCACTTCAACCGGACAACTGGCGAAATACCCTCAGTGCCCCAATATCTGACCCAACTCTGGGACTGAGCCAGCCTTACGTCTGAGCAACCATCTGGCTATCGAAAACCACATCGACCAACTACTTGCTCGGACTTTTATCCAAACCAATTAAGAGTTTCTCATGTTCAGTTATTATTTGATATATATTTTTTTTTTACTTACCGTTTACTTTTATTTTATTTTCTTGTATGCACACGCAGACAACATACCCCAACTCCTGAGATAGGTAACACAACCCCCCCAACATAACATAACGGGGTTTACACACCTCTCTCACCCAACAAGCCATTGGCCTCTGAAACTCTGGCAACAAGAGGCACCTTAAATAACCCCTCCGCCACCCCCTTAGGTCAGGGGTAATTCTAAGCGTGCCAGACCACCACCAAGACAGCAAACGTATCAACGTCCACACAAACATTAATTCCGCACTGCATATAGTACACAGTAGGTACACACACCCTGGCACTATCAACGCACATAGACGCCAACCTGAGGCCACACGTGTAGACTCCTATGCAGCCTCATGCACCGCAAGGGAGCATACTTCACACCCCACGCCTGTAGTACCCTGGGAGCGCAACACAAACCAAACACTAGCCTGCAGCAATCTAGCAAGCCCCGGGTTTGTTCCCAAACATGGCCGAAATTAAAAAGTGCTCACCATACGCATTTCACCATATATCCTGACATTAACCCCACATGCTAAGAGAATACTTGCTACTGCCGAATATTTGCAAACTTACGATCTCATGAAATGCTGCATGTAACTCTCATGTACAACTGTGCACAGAAAAATAAAGAATTAAAAAAAAAAAAAATTGAGCATGTCCTATCTATTACCCCAAATAGAATACGTGATGCCGTTGGGGTACCTCAAGCCTGTATGTAATACTCTTATGCACTGCAAAACTACAACAACAAAAAAAGAGAGACGAACTCAAAAAACAAACCACCTTAACGAGATCATTAATGACATTCACAAACATAAGGAGCTAAACAAGCGTTCACAACACCCGTCCCATTAGGTGGCACTGCTACAACTGCGGCGAGACCTGAGCTCACTGATTCACTCCAAATACCATAGGGACGTAGTTAGTCATAAAGCTTTCTTTTCCCTACACAGGAATAAAAGTGGTAAGCTGCTAGCCAGAATTCTAGTAAAACGGAGGCAGATGACGTATATAGACAGGATCCGAGATAAGCAAGACACCGTACACCGCTTACCCGCTAAAATCATGGAGGTTGTGCGCACTTATTATTCAGAGCTACATTCACTCCGGCACCCCCGAACCGACGCAGGGAAAGCCCACTTACAGGACTCAATTCGGCAATACCTGACAACGCACTCTCTGCCGACCATAGACAAAGATGTCTGACCAGTTGTACGGACCAATAACCCTAGAGGAACTAGCACTTGCAATAGAATGCACCAAACCTGGCAAGAGCCCCGGCCCTGACGGGCTACCACTTCGATAATACCAAAGCTTTGCCGACAGCTTGTACCAGCTGATGCTGGCTTCATTTAATCCTGTGTGGGAGGGCCACCACTTTCCCAAACAAGCACTGACAGCGAACATAACCATCATCCTGAAAGGGGGCAAGGACAGAGAGCACTGCGGGAACTACAGACCCATCTCCCTTATCAACCACGATATTAAATTGATGGCGAAGGTCCTGGCCACGTGCCTGCAGATGCACATCCCTTCCGTGGTGTACCCGGACCAGGTGGGATTTGTGACTGGACGCGATGCAAGAGATAATACTATACGTGCACTTACCCTCATGCACGGGAGGGGTGGGGACGCCAGGGGCCTTCTCTTGCTATCAACTGTCATGGAAAAAGGTATTCGACAGGGTGTGCTAGGAATACCTCTTTCAGACCCTCGCCCATTTCGGTCCAGGGACCCACATACGAAAATGGATCGAGGCTCTGTACTATGGGCCCACAGCCCATGTAATAATCAACAGGGTACTGACAGACGAATTACCCACCAGGGTTGTCCCCTATCTCCTCTGCTCTTCTTCCTTGCCCTTGAACCATTCATGACAGCCATTAGACATCACAGGGAGACACACAGCATAAGATAGCTGCATATGCAGATGACCTACTCTTTTTTGTCTTTTACCTTGAAAATTTCCCTCCCGAACATCCTAAAAGCTTTTAATTAATTCAAAACTAGCTCCAACTTGAAAATAAACTTCTCTAAGTCATATGTTTGAAAGATATGCTACCTTACGCACCACTGCTCCGTATTCAGCAGATCGCTGGAGACGACTTTTAAGCTGTTGACTAATTGGTATCGCACACCAGCCCTATTGCACGCAATAGACCCAACTCACTCCGACCTCTGTTGGAGGTGCGGTAAGGGGGTGGGCACCACACTACACCTCTGGTGGGAATGTGAGAAAAATAATCCTTTTTTGGGTGGGAATACACAATATGCTGGGGGAAGTTCTCCGACACACCGCCACCCCTGGACCCGGCGGCAATGCTCTTACAACACACGGCCAAGCCCAGGTCCAGCTATAAGAAATCCATGTCCATTAGAATTCTGAACATAGCTAAACAGGTCATTCCACAGTATTGGAAACAGGCGAACAACCCCCAACTACTGACATGGTTCACCCAAATGGAGGAACTCAGGGCAATAGAGGAGCTCCACATGGGGGCAGCTAAAACCTCAATAGTGTATATGGAGACTTGGTCCCATTGGTTTTTCACCACTGCAGCAGCAGACTTCCCATCTCAATTACGACAGTAACTTCACCTGATGGACATAACGACTCCTGACTTGCACCTTACCCTCCCCACCTCTCCTTCCCTTCGGCACCCCTCCCCTCCCTATCTTATCTTCTTCTCCTTTACTTCTTTTGGATTCTCAGGAACCTTTCCTGTACTGGGATATTTGACAATAGGAACCCAGAGCGGTGATTCCCGTAGCTGTATGGGATAGGAATCCTGACAAGGGTAACCTGCTGACGAAACAGGGCTCAAATGGAGGAACACACCCTTAACGGGTGCTAAACAACTCCAACCCTGCATCCACTTTACATGACCCCCTAAGCATTGGGGTCCACAACTACTGACTTAGAGACAACTTCCTCGTATGAGCCGCAAGAGACCCAAAATTCTCAACACAAAAGGGGGACCATAACTTCTGATTCCATTAGGAATTAGAGGGTACTGTCCAATTGTATATATGCTATAATTGTAGGACCTACGTGTCCAACATGTGGATGCTATCTGCGCTATATTGTGACTTGCGCGTCACCGAAGTATGCCTATAAGCTCATCAATTCTCTTGTAAGATAGACGATGCACAAGACTGACGGAACCTGCAAGTCCACAATGAGGTTTTCTCTAATGTAATGTTGAAAAACATTCAATAAAAATATATTTACCAAAAAAAAAAAAAAAGAATAGTTTTTGCCACCTTATCTGACAGGCCTCTGGATTTTAGGATGTTTTCAATTTTAATGCTCTCATTTGAAATTGGGCTGGATTGTCGTGAAGGACTGGACCTTGGGACATCATGTTGGGACTGAGGAAATTCCCATGGTTCTTCCTGAGATAATCAGAGAAGTAACGGGAAACATGGCCAATTACCATCACTTGTCCCTTCCATTTTTTTCTGAAAATCCTCAGAAAAACAAGGAAAAGAGGAAAAATATTACTCAGGTTGAAGTTCCATTTCAGTGATAGTGCATCTTAACCCTTTTGTATCAAACCTTCTGGAGAAGAAAATTTTAAGTTGTTTTTTTCTAGAAAGTTGCCATAAGGTCGATTACTGACTTTCCCCATTTTTTGCATATCTCTCAAAAGATATTTGCATCTAGTTTCCATTCTCCCAGGTCTATATAATTCCTGCTCAGATAGTCTGCCACTTCGTTCTCTTGTCCTGGAAGGTGGATAGCTGAGAGAACTTCTAGGTTTTGCTGTGCCTCGGTAATAATGAGTTTTCTTTCAGTTTAGCCTTGGTGATTTATATATGACATGGCTGTGATGTTGTCCACTTGACCTTTAACCCGTTTGTTCTTCTGGAACGTTTTGAACGCAATCCGGGCTCTGTAAACTGCAAATGCTGCAGGAAGTCCGAGTTTTGTAAAAACTAGGTAGGCAAATCATACAGAACAGGGGAAATGAAAGTAAAAAAGGATTTTTTTAAAAAATTCTTTAATTTTGAAGTGCAGGGTTAATTACTGTACATGCTTTACTGCTGATACATAACATGAGGCATAAGAACAAGATGTATATATGAAAGTCAGGGAATGCTGCACTTTTTTTTTTTTTAAACAAAAAAGAAAGTTGACACATGAGAAAACAATAATATATGACAAAACTGGCATGGCATCTTATGTGGCAAAAGGAGAAATTGTAGCTTAATCAGGCATGCAGTGGTGTATGCTGGTTTTGTGCTGCCCTAGGCATGACAAAACTCAGGTGCCCCCTGCCCCACCTTCTAAATACACACACACAGGTTCTCCCCCCCAACATCTATGTGTCGTGCTTATGGTGGAGTCCCGTGGGTCGTTTTGCCTGTGTGGTTTTGTACTTGCGTTTTTCAATAATGTTGTAATAGGTATTCGGGTATGTCCCTGTCTGGCCCAACTTTTTTTTTTTTTTAATTCTTTATTTTTGTGGGTATACGAAAGTTAAACACGTAGTACATTATTTGCAAAAAAGGAGATAACATGTATGAAATACATTTGAGATAGTAATCATATAACAGGTATAGTTGCACAGAAACTTTGCCACCCGGTTTTTAATAGGTAAAACCCTGCTTTATTCCCTTGTGCTAGAAACCGTTAAGGCGTGCAACATCTTAGAGGGGCTAGCAAACAGCGTTATGTGCTCTGCTTAGGAATGTTGGGGCTGTAGGCTCAACTTAGGCACGTGTATTATTGGGTAAGGGAGGGTGTTTATTATGGCCTTTGGCCATTGAAAGGTGTGGTGCAGGCCCTTCCATTGGGGAGCCTGTAAGTAGCATTTTGGGTCTCTGCATATGCTTTGTGTTAGGGGGGCAAGTCTGCTTGACCAGGATCGGTGGTTGTCTGCTTACGGAACCAGAGTTTTAAGTATGTCTGATGCCCTGTAGCTTTCATAAACTAAAAAAACCTTTAATGCCTTAGAGAACGTAAGAAACTTAAAAAAGGATCAAAACCAAAAAGCAACTGCTTTTATGGTGAGTAGAAAGACCAGGTAAGTTTAGCATATCAAAAGTGTCCAATATATAGTCCTGTAGTAAAGGAACTAGGACATTGCACAGGTGCACTTGCATGTGCGGTCGCTTTTCTCATGTTAAGGATCCGTCATCCTCGGCATAGTTCCTCAGGGCACAAAGGGAGTTATTTCATCGATGTTCTATGATGGGCTGGCCCTTGTTGCTGCTGCAGCTAACGAGAGTCCCAGTGACTGGAGAAACTTAGGCGCCTCAGATATGTGTGTCAGGTGGGTCGTCTTACCAGCATGCTCTGTGGTTAAATGATGAGGGCCCCATTTATAGGGGATAGAGTTCTCACGCAGTATCAAGGTGATGTGGCGGAGAGATCTGCGCCAGGTGAGAGTGTACCTTGAGAAGTCTCTGTATAAGGTCAAACTTGTTCCCTCAAACGTGATGGTAGGCGAGCCTCTCAGCTCCCATGAGGGCCCCACGATCGGAGTCCCGGACAAATTTAATCAGCACGTCCGTGGTGCTTCCTGGGGGCGCTGTGAGTGCCTTGGGGAGGCGAAAGCAGGTGTCAATCCCTACCTGCTTCGCTTGCCTGGGAGTCAGTAAGGTTGCCACAAGTCTCCTACAATATTGTGGTAATTCCAGGTTTCCCACCAATTCAGGCATACCCCGGATTCGCAGGTTTCAGGCTTTAGTTTTGTCCTCCATTCCCGCTAGTTGAGCGGTCGGTGTTGCATATTGTTTTTGTAACAGTCCCACAACAGTGTCTGTCGCCACCTGTGCCACCCTTGCGCCTCCAAGGGACTCCTCAACGGAGACCACCTGGCTTGAGAGCGTGGAGATTTCCCCTCGGACAAGCGCCATGTCGGCGTCAAACATCGCCTTGATATTTAACGTCAGTGTCTTAATGTCGTGGCCCAACTTTAAAGGGTTTCCCGGCTGATGTCCGTTCTGTCTCTGCTAAGTTGGGGCCAGAGATTCTGTGGTGATGGAGGGGCTCGGTGGTTAAGTAGTTGAATTCCTTGCCCAGTGTCGACTCGGGGGTCCTGGTCATGGTGAGTGCGTTGAGGTCGGGGCGAGCAGCTCACCGTGAGTATTAGTGTCCATGATATGATGTTAAAGGGGTATGCTTTTAGCTCCTGCTGTCACGTGGGCATTGCAGAGTTTAGTAAGCCAGGCAGGCTGGATGCGAGTCTCTCATGAATGGGATGAATGCCCTAGTGTCAAGCGCTGTGTGCTTAGGTTGGGCACCTTAATTGACTCCGCTGTGTCAGTGGCATCGGGGGCCTGTTGCCTGCTGGCGGGTGGTTCTCGGGATGTGAGATCCTGCGGCCTAGTTCCCCTGACCCCGGGCGGGTGTGTAGAGCGTCAGGAGGTCTGGCCACTGTATGTGAGCTGGCGTGATCTTTAGTTCTCTTGCGAGAGTGTCCATGTCTGCTCTCTCCCTGATTTCGAAGGGGCCCTTAGACGTGTGGACCTGGAGTCTGTTCAGGAAGCACCAGCAGTATTTTATTTTTTTACGCCTGCAATTGCTTGGTAAAGGGGCGTAAGGCCCGTCGGTATGCCAATGTGGTTGGTGATAGGTCAGGGTATAGTTGTATCTCTGTGCCCTCTAGGAGCACTTTGCCTGCTTCCCTTGCTTTTCTAAGAATTTCTTCTTTTAATTGGAAATTTGTTACGCAGCATATGATGTCCCGGGCTGTGCTCCCAGCTGGGCCTTTTGGTCTAAGTGCCCTATGTGCTCTCGCCATGTCGACCGGGTTCTGTGCGAGGTGTCCCAGGATGTTGTTAAATATGCCCGTTAGGGTAATCTGTACTGGGGTTGTGTCATCCACCTCCTCTGGCACCCCGCGGATCCTAATGTCTTCTGCCTCGGTTGTCGAGGTCTTCTAAGTGGTATGCCATTTGCTGGAGTTGTTGCGATCTGAGTTGTAGGGTGTCCGTGTTTGCAGACTGCGCTGACGCCATGTGGTCGCAGTCCACTTCGAGTTGGGACACCCTCTGGCGTAGGCCGCAGAATTCTTCCCACATGGCTTGGAGTTCCGTAGTGATGGAGGCCCGGAGTTCGTCATTTGCTGCTTTCAGATCCGTTTTAGTTGGCAGGTTGTGCAGCATATAAGTCTAATCGGTTTGCGGTGTCGTGAGGCTGGTGCCAGGTGCCTCTGTCTGTGTCTCTTTGCCGCGTGGGGATGGCGAGAACAACCCGCCTGAGGCCGTGGAGTTGTTAGAGGCCTGTGAGTCCGGGTCCGTCTGGGCGATCAGGAACTGTCGCATGAAGGGATGGGTGTTCCCCTTGGGGGTGTGCGATGCTCTTTGTGTTTTACCCATTTTCGGGGTAATATGATGCTGTTGGCAAGGTTGATGTGGAGCCTTTCAAGGAGCTCAGGGTTTACACCGCCATCTTCCTCGGCTTCCAAGCCACGCCCCGTAATAGGTTTTTTTTCCCCCTCATCCAAGATGTCGGGCGGAATGTGGACACCTAAATTTAAAGACAAAGTGCACCAAAATCCGTCTCAACATTTGTATAAGTCTCATGGAAAGCTTTGTTTCCTATTTGTTAGTTACAAGTTGCACTCTGGGTTTTATCTACATTCATTCTCAGGTAGGATTCCAAGTATTATTTTCATCATTTTTTACTAATATTATAGTGAACCAAGTTTGGATTCCAATCGTTTATTTTCTCTGTTTTCAGCCCCATTGAACACTATGGATTTATCACCTACATTTGCAAACTCTGCAATACCACAAACACAAAAATAAACAATTTAAGGGGGCGGGGGCGGGGCGGGGACGGACCGCCAAGTTGGACGATCGCACGCAAGTTCAGCTCCTGCAACACATCCACAATTAAGCATATAAACCATGGCAAAAGACCTAACTACTGACCGGCAGCAAGGGTCTTCAGTGCCACAAGGACACCGGATCCTGGCAGAGGCTGGCTCCTTGAGCTTCAGTCCCCAGGAGGTGGGGCCCGCAACGACTAAGTTGGGGCCTACGCCGGCGGTGAGCGGGGCAGACTGCTACTGCCCCACTATCCTGCCTGGCCCTGTTCCCCCCCTATGGACCCGCGGAGGTGATCCCGGTCCTCACCCAGAGGCTACACAACCAGGGCCCAAAGACACTACCATCCCGCTCGAGGGCCCGAGTGTGACACCCAAAATGGCAGATGCCATGTGCGCCGGAATCGGCGGGAGGGATTGCGCCCTCACGGGGATTAGAGCAACCAACTGGGCCTCCAGACACGGGCCAGAAGAGCCCAGGTCCTTCATACCATACTTCTCAACCCCACAAGCGACCGCTCACCCGCCCACTTCAACGGCCATGTCACAGGCAAGCAGCAGAGGAGGCCTGGCCGGGCCCACTCCCGGAGAGGCATTACCCAAACCCTCACATTAGCGGACACTTGAACCCGGTCACACAGGCACGACAAATCGGGCATTGGATAAGCACAAGCCCACTACTACCTGCAAAGCCTCGGGCCCGCCAAGCCGAAAGTCCCTGGAGCACAAGCCAACTCACGTACTCTAGATCAGCCAGGGTGATATAATACTTGTAGAAAACCATTTAACACCAGTGTGTTTACATCATGATTATCTTAGTATAGCATATAGTTTAACTCTTTTAATACACTACGCAGGCATGCATCCAAACACCTGGCTTGCATCACACAGTTTAATGATACCTCTGATAGCTTAATAATCTGTTACTCTACCTACTGTGCTTTTAATGCCTCTTTGTCACACTACTACCATCTCGTTTATTAACTTTCGGTAAACACACTTACATCTGAATTAAATGTCTAGCAGTCTTACCTGTTTCATATATGCCGTAACGTTTCAACTGAATGTTAGCTCTTACCAAATGTTAAAATGTGCCGACCAGCAAATGCCATAACGTACTACGTGATGAAGAAATCTATACCTTGAAAACGCTGTTGTGACGGACCAAGGCTGTTTGTTAATCTCTGTGCACAACAAAAATAAAAAATGTAAAAAAATTAAAATAAACAATTAAGCAGCACCAGTGGAAGAATATTTCTAAAAGGATAAAGAAATAATAATTACCCTCTAATAAAATGTAGATAAAAGACTGCTCTCAGTCTTCAAAATCTTATAAAACACCAAATATCTACAAATATAAAAACTGGTATAATGTAACACTGTGGACACAAATTAAAATGGAAATAGGGTAAGTATGGCACTCACAAAACTCTTATTGATAAAAGGCATATAATTATTTCTTTCAATCTTCTCTTTTCCACGGAACTCAAATAGCAGCACCACATATAAGGGAAGATAAAAAATGGGACACATGGAGTAGTTCTTTAAAACGAAAATAACTCCATTTATTATATTGCACAAGATTTAAAATCAATAATAGCCTGTCATCCTGACGTCTTTTATTGTTATTATTTTTTTCTGTGTCATTTATTGTTATTTTGTATGCTACTTATATATAAACTTTATGGTCATCTGGGATCTTCAGTTTAGAGGATGACAGGCTATTATTGATTTTAAATCTATAAATCTAATAATAAATGGAGTGATTTTCGTTTTAAGATCTACTCTGTGTCCCATTTTTTATCTTCCCTTGATTGAAAGAAATAATTATATGCCTTCTATAAATGAGTTTTGTGAGTGCAGTACTTCCCTTATTCCCCTTTTTAATTTGTGTCCACAGTGTTATACTATACCAGTTTTTCTGTTTGTAGGTATTTGGTATTTTACAAAAAAATCTGCAATAGGCCATAGGTGGGCATTATTTTCTTTATTCTATGCATTCACTTAATGAAAAGAGTCTGGAGGGTACAGTCTTATTATAATAAGATTTCTGTATTCACAGCTTTCAAGACCTGTCCGGCCCTAAATCTCCATCTAGGAGAAGGTTAAAACCGGCGTCTTGTCCAGGATGCGCTTCCAGGCCTTTGGGTAACTGCAGGCTCTGCAATTTATGACTAACCTTGATTGAGACTATATAAAGATTCAATCACCAGAAGCCTCCACCTCAACACCCATTGCTAACTGGATTAAACAGGCTGTGGTTCAGAATCCAACAGAGGAAATGACCCAGAAGGTAAAATGTTCAAATGGTGTTTGAAGAAGACATATAGCAGAATCTCTGCAAGATGTTAAAATGTAAAACAATAAAATAGTGAGAGCACTCAATAATTTAAAACATTACCACAAGTATATATGGATACCATCCTAAAAAAAATAGAAATAGAGACCATAGGGTAATACAGTTTACACATCTATTAAAACCACATATTACTGGTCCAACTCACATGTTTCTGAGCCACTTAGAAAAACCTAGCACAGACTAGAAGTATAAAGCGGAGAATACAGCAAGTGCAGGGGGTTCTTGTTATGGTCAGGATATCTCCCGGCTGTGTCATCAGTGATTACCGTTAAGAATCCAGGATCAAGGTAAAAAACACGATTTATTAATTATAACATAAAGATGTAAAGTTATATAAAAACAAGGTAAGTCCACTGGTTGCTTGCCACTTGACGTGTTTCTGCATAAAGCCTTTCTCAAAAGTGGTAGTTCTGTTCTCCTCCGCGATTCTGTTTATAAATGGAAATATTCTGGTGCCCTCCTTAGTTGATTCTGGTTTCCATTTCCGCTTACATCATCATTAGACGTTCAGTGCTTGTATTTTGCATCCCTGCGTTGTGACGTCATGACGGTATCGGCATAATGATGTGGTAGCCGGAAGTCTTCAAACCGCCATATTAGAAAGTCCATTGTAAACAGCGGTTACACATATAATATGCTAATATTATAAGAAAAATATGCATAAGAATAATTAAAAATTGAAAATAAAAACATTTTGTGTAGTACAGCAGGACATTAAGAAAAAAAGAGAAAATTGGAGGGAAAATTAATGAATGATGGATAAACAAATTTGAAAAACTTCATTAAAAATGTATAGGACATAAGCATTTTAAAATGGCATGAATATTTTAAAACGATCCATAAAATCAACAAAAACCTGTATAAATAAGAAGGAAAAAAATAGGGGAGATCGAATAAAACACTTCAGGGGCTATTATATACAAGAATTGATCTCAAAATCTGCATTTAAGCCGTGAGGTAGTAATGTGTAAATGTTAAAAATCCACCTCATTTTGGATTTACTGAGGAGACTCTCAATATCTCCTCCCCTCCTGTGTGTTTTAACCCCCTCTGTTCCCATAAATTCCAATCCACTGGCATCCCCACCATGGATACGGACGAAACGCGTAGGACCCCTGGTGGTAACATAGAGAGACTACACCCATTGTTTTATACTTTGATGTAAGTTATTACATTTATTTTTACTATACTCTTGAATGTGCACTACAACTTTATTGCATCTTTTCTCTTGAGCACATAATCCCAGCCAATTCATGGGGAATTGAATACAGATGGAAGAATTGAATTGAATCTTGAAAAGGAATTTATGCTAAAGGTTTTCTTACTTCAGTGAATGTGTGAGTGGCCATTTGTGAATTCAAACACTTGTGGTTTATTCATATACACAGTTATACGCTATGTTCTTTTGTTTATCACTGATTTAGCAGATCATCCCCTATTTTTTTGTAAATATCTAAAAATGATTCAAATGTATCAATCTCACAGTTTGGGGCATATTTAAAAACCTTATTTAAAACATTTTTATGTTCTTCAGTTAAAAAAAATTCTGAAAGATTAAAAATTCTTATGCTTGTTGAAATCTCTTTATTCCCTCCTACTTCCTTCTTTTTTAAATCTATATTTGGGAACAGATTTGCCCCAAGTTATGCAAATCTATTTATGGCCCACTGTGAAGAACTAAAATTCTTTTCCAGCAAGTCTGCTCCTCTATAAATGAAACATGAATGATATTTTTATTATCTGGAAGGGAACTGAAGAATCTCTTTTAAATGTTTTTAACAGTCTTAATAAGAATGGCTGGAATATAAAATTAACTTATGAGATCAGCTCCCATACAATTAATTTTTTAGATCTATGTATTTATGTTGAGAATAACCAAATAAAAAGTAAAACTTTTCTTTTTAAAAAGTAGATGTGAATAGTTTTAAAGATTTGAAGAGCTGTCATTTTAAACCTTGGCTGGTCAATATACCTAAAGGTCAATTAAACATAGAAACATAGAATGTGACGGCAGATAAGAACCATTCGGCCCATCTAGTCTGCCCAATTTTCTAAATACTTTCATTAGTCCCTGGCCTTATCTTATAGTTAGGATAGCCTTATGCCTATCCCACGCATCCTTAAACTCCTTTACTGTGTTAACCTCTACCACTTCAGCTGGAAGGCTATTCCATGCATCCACTACCCTCTCAGTAAAGTAATACTTCCTGATATTTCTATTTCCAAAGAGTGAGACGGAATTGTACCGAAATAGAACAATATAGGTGCCAGTTAAGGATTTTAATAAATCAATTTGTGGGAAAAGGCTACAACCCTGATTCTTTACAAGAAACATGTGAACAGTTGAGAAAGAATCAAGAGATACCCTGTTGAAATAAAAAACTAACAAAAAAAATTTAAAGAAGAAGAGAAGGAAATACCTTTGATTTTTAACTATTGTTTTAATAGTAACAATTTACGTAAGCGAATTCAGAAAAATTGGCATGTTTTAGAAGAGGATCATGATATCAATAAATATTTGGGTGAAAGACCCAAAATAATTTTAGAGAGGCGCATCATTTTAAACATATTTTAACCAAAAGTTTTTTAGTTAATACCTACAAAACTCACGTTTCATCAGTTTTCAAAAGGGACAAAGTTTTTTTTACTATTGTATGACCTGTAAAGGATGCACTTTAAGGAAGAATAAGAATAGGAATGTTACGGGGGGCAGAGCCACCTGCCTAACTAGCTGGACACACGCAGCAGGAGCTCCGGGGAGATCGGCTAGAAAGTAGCGATTACTGACTTGAAAAACCCACAGTCAGTTCCCAGATTAAGGACTTATCTGCTCTGCAGCCAATGGGGAAGCGCTCCAAAAAACTTTGTACTGATCAGAGCCCAGGAACCCAGGATATTGGCACGTTCCTGCACCAGCCTGCTAGGCACGCACCAACAAAGATGGCGCTGGCCTCTACCTTGGCCTCTTCAGATGAGGAAAGCCTACCGGAACAGCTATCCACCCTTTTAAATGTACCAACTGTCACCAAGGAGCCCCCTGCAGGGGGAGACACTGCCCCATTGACTATTAAGGCCCTACTCTATGAAATACTGCTATGTTCCAAGCAGACGTTGCAGGTGTGAGAGAGGAGGTGGCCACACTCACTGGCAGACATGTCACCATAGAGGACGACATGGGTACAACGAAAGTGGCACAAACAGCTCACTTCAAAAGAGCAATGCTGACATGCTCAATCGTATGGCTAACCTGGAAGACAAGACTAAGGTGAAAAATGTGAGAATCAGGGGGGTCCCAGTGATCATATAACCACTGAAGAACTGCCTCATTTTATTTGATGACTCCTCTCCACACTGCTGCCCCCAAAACAGGCAAAACTGGTCACAATGGACCATTGCTTTCGATTGTCTAAGGCCCATAGAGCCCCTCCAGGAGACATCCAGGTTAAATTTGTTTGGGACTATGACAGAGGTACCATTGTGGCGGCGACCAGAGATTCCCCTACCACAGCATTTGAAGGCCGCCAACTGACATTCTACATGGATGTAACCCGCCACACCATTGCCTGGAGGCAATCTCTCCGCCAACTCACCCAGCACTTACGGGAACGCAATGTGCCTTACAAATGGGGCATACACAAGCTCATTGTTGAAAAGAGAGGCAAGACCCACTCACTTCTCTGAGGTGCATCACCTACTACGGGAGTTGGGATTACATGAAGGTACCTTCACCATAACGCAACATCCTTCGTGGTTGGTCAACTGGATAACTCCATTCGTCCCGAGAGTAGCCGCACCGGTATCCAGTGATTCACCACCGTGATGAAAGCTATCACACCACCTTGTTTAACCTACAATACATGCTCTATACAAGCATAATTTACTTTTCTTTCTGTTGACAATGATATTATGCCTCATGTTTCTAAAAATTAATATGGCTCTGTAAGTTGTAGCTGTATTTGTGTCGTTGAGTTGCACACCCTCCCTACCTAGCTGCCCTGTTTACTACGAGCAGAGGTCTCTCACATATGGTAGTTACTGCATGACACTTGCTGACAATACCCACCAACAATAATCTCCTCCTAGAGGCATACTGATAACCCGACAGCAGATATGACTGTTGCAGAGGTACCACAGTTTACTAGCTCCCTCTTCCCCCCAATAACCCAGAGGTTCTAAAGCTCTAACCTCACTCAAGACAACGGCTGACTGACCTTTATATGGCGATCAATTTACTTTATAAAATGTGCTGTATTTCTGATATGTCCTGTTTATAACACTTTGACCATTGTTACAATGTTGCTGACATGTCTCACTGAATGTGGTGCACAAAGCACAACAAATATAAAGAATGTCAAAAAGAATAGGAATGTTACAAAATTTCCCTCATTTAAAAATCATCAAGAATATATCAAATCATTTTTAACCTGTAACTTTAAAAATAACATATACATGTGTGTTCCAATACATTGGCAAGACATCACGGGCTCTTAAAATACGTATTAAGGAAATTTTGCCAACATCGCGTATCCAAGCATTTCTTAAACGCCCATGGTGGGGATGCCAATGGATTGGAATTTATGGGAATAGAGGGGGTTAAAACACACCGGAGGGGGGCGTGGCCGGGCTGTACATGGAGTAGGACACAGACGACAAGAGCTCCTAGGCCCCAACCCGCCAAACGCCCTGCAAACGCAGCAAAACGCACAATTAATGGGGAAGACCAAACGAGGGTCTACCCCCAGACCATCCAATTCCCCCTGTGCACCATACCCTGCTGCCCATGGATCACCAGGTAAAGTCATATTACGCCCACCTACCGGGAAAGGCCCATATACACAGGCAGCTTACGGAGTTTGAACAAATGAGCAAAGACAGGAAACATATAGAACACGGTATTTCGCGCATGTATGGAGCCCTCATGACGACGGCAGATCCTGGTCCCTTAGGCTTCACCAGTAAATGGGAACAGGAGACCGGAACCCAGTTGACAGACAAAGAGTGGGATAAAATCTTCCTTCTGACCCATAAGTGCTCCATAAGCTCCAAATTCCAAGAAACTAGTTATAAACTTTTTACACGTTGGTACCGTACACCTGACACTCTTAGGCACATGACACAGGCTGACACGGGCGAGTGCTGGCGGTGTGGAGCGGAACCTGGTATGAACCTGCACATTTGGTGGTCCTGCCCACACATAGCTCCATTTTGGCAGATGATTAATACAAAGATTCGGGAGATCACGGGAACAGACCTCCCCCTCCAACCTTTGCAGGATTCTCCCGAACCACACACCCACACCCATGAGAGTGTACAAAAATTCACTTACCATACATCTACTCACCGCGGCCAAAACACTCATACCCTTACACTGGAAGCACCCAACAATCCCCACGTACAGACAATGGGTGGATAAGGTAGAAGCCATCCATGAGATGGAACTCATGACGGCATCCCTGCAGGAACGCTCAGACAAATGCGCCTTTAAATGGTACCCCTGGAGTTCCTACCTTGCGAGGGGTATAGCATGAAAGGCAACCCGGACGCTGTTGGGCCCGTGGTGGCTGGGCCGTGACGGGTGGGGGGGTGGCCGGGGCTGGCGGCCCGGGGGGAGGCGGGAAGCAGCCATGAAGGTCGAGGAGGGATCCAATGGGATCTCCCATATGCACCACTCATTCCCGTTCTTCCCTTCCCCATTCAGCCTCGACCCTGTCCCTTGGCTACCCACATAGGCAGTGGCCAGAGGATGAACCCTCCACATTGGGAGCCCCTACGAGAAGACCTTGACTATGAGGCGGAGACGGTTGATGATTGGGAGATTGAAAGGTCGAGGGAATACCAACTTAGACCCTAACCCCACAAGACGTAAGGTCGATTGACAGTAGGACAGAGGACCTAAGAACACAGGGACAGGACACACTACTCAATCTGTATAGCCAGACACTCTTGGATCTCTGCAGGTGCCACATTGAGTACCATACCTAAAGGAGCACGAGTACTAGAGGCCACTCCCGACAAATAAATACAGGGGCAGGATAGTTGGGCGACAGGAATATAAGGATGCTAGCTTACCACACCATACCTGTGAGACCTAACGGACGCCTAACGGCACAGAACGGTCTCCACCGGGGACATACACAAGGGACCTCCACCTCTAACGCCCCATCGCTTGATACGGAGATAGAGTACTATAAAACGACACCACACTTTTTGACATGACCTGTACCTGGCAGGAGGCCGTACATTACAGTACCTGTCTCAAATACCTAGACGAACAGATGTAATAGCCTCAACCTCAAAGCTAACTAGGGCCCAGACTAAGACACAAAGGGAACCGCTGCTACCCAGTGGTATGTCACTAAAACACCAGCGAGTTACTGTCTTTCGTTTCTATACAAAAATTGGTTGTAACCTGATGGTTATGTTACATATGTTTATGTTAAACTGGAAAATACAAAATAAAGATTGTCAAAAAACACACTGGAGGAGATATTGAGAGTCTCCTCAGTAAATCTGAAATGAGGTGGATTTTTAACATTGACACATTACTACCTTTACTTAAATGCAGATTTTAAGATCAATTCTTGTATATAATAGCCCCTTAAGTGTTTTATTCGATCTCCCCTATTCTTTCCATCTTATTTAATACAGGGTTTTTGAGATTTTATGGGTATTTTTAATATATTCATGCCGTTTTAAAATTCTTATGTCCTATACATTTTTTATGAAGTTTAAAAAAAAAATCTGATTATTCATTAATTTTCCCTCCAATTGCCTAATTTTTTCTTAATATCCTGCTGTAATACACAAAATATTTTTATTTTCAATTTTGAATTATTCTTATGCATATTTGTGTTATAATATTAGCATATTATATGTGTAACCGCTGTTTACAATGAACTTTCTAATATAGCGGTTTGTAGACTTCCGGCTACCACATCATTATGCCGATACCGTCATGACGTCACGACGCAAGGATGCAAAATTTCAGCGCCGGACATGTAATGATGATGTAAGCGGAAACCAGAATCCACTAAGGAGGGCGCCAGAATTTCCATTTATAAACAGGATCGCAGAGGAGAACAGAACTACCACTTTTGAGAAAGGCTTTATGCAAACGCATCAAGTGGCAAGCAACCAGTGTACTTACCTTTATTTTTATATAATTTTACATCTTTATGTTATAATTAATAAATCGTGTTTTTTTTACCTTGATCCTGCATCCTGGATTCTTAACAGTAATCATTGATGACACAGCCAGGAGATATCCTGAACATAACAAGTAGCCACTGCACTTGCTATATTCTCCGCTTTATACTTCTAGTCTGTGCCAGGTTATTCTAAGTGGCTCAGAAACATGTGAGTTGGACCAGTTAATATGTGGTTTTAATAGATGTGTAAACTGTATTACCCTATGGTCTCTATTTCTATTTTCTTTTTTTTTTATTCTTTATTTTTGTGTGCAAAAGATTACAGGTGAGATTTTATTGCCACAACAGCATAAACAATCAACACATTGTTTTGTAGTTTGAGACAGTAATATGGCAATTGTAGGTACTGCGCATTTTAAAATTATGATAAGAGAGAACTATTGCATAGACATATGAGTATTAAGTGGATCAGTGTGCAAGCTAACATGTCTGCAGCTAAAGAGAAGTTAAAACAGTAATGGTAGCATGGTACTTTGAATTGTTAACATGCTTATCTCAACAGGAGAACTAATGGCATGCTGCCCCTAGGAGGCTACAAGCTGGTTGCTTGGTTAGATAGGGAGTAAGTGTGCTAGAAAATGGCTACTGGTACTTGGGATGTATTTGTGAGAGGCAGCCAGAGTGATAAGGAAAAAGTCTACTGTCAACCGATGCCAATAGTTGGTAGATCAGAGTGCATGAGTATGTGGGACACTTCAGGCTCTGGGACCCAGGTGAGAGTCGGCAGGTTTGATCACAGACTGGGAGCAGGGCTCTCCACAACACACCTTTGGCTTGTTGCTAGGTTCAGGCGACCTCCGTGCTGCTTTTAGTGCAGGTGAGTTCCGGCACTTGCGTCTCCGCCATTTTGGGGCCCTCACTGCCAGTACTATTGTGGATACCCGGTGGAGCTTTGATGCCCGGGGACTGTGTGGAGGACCCTGCACGTACAGTGGTGTCTGGTAAGGTATTCTGTCCTCCAACTGCCGCCAAAATTTGTCGAAGTGTTTCTTGAGCCTGGACTCAAAGTCCGAGAGTAGGTTGATGATGCTAGGGGGACACGTGGTCTCCGCCATTTTGCGTGGATCGCGGAGGTGTTTGTCCGCGTGGATGGCTTCCACTTGTGTGTCAGCTGGAGCTGTGTTGCCTCCCAGGGCTGGACCGGGATCACCCCCGCCAGTCCAAAGGGGGGGGAAAGGGGTTCCTGTCGACAAGCAGCTTCCCGTGCGCACCCCCGGACCAGGAGATCGGCCGCTTCTCCCGCCCGGGAAGCACCAGGCCGCATCCTCATAATGGAAGGTGGAAAGCTTCCTGCAGCCCCTCGTCCACTGTGAAACATGACAGGCAGGTTGGTAGGTAATAGCTTCTAAATCTGTGTCTCAATTGGAGCAGATTATGCAGGTAGATTCGGTATTATGTTAGTGTAGTGGAGGAGCTCGCTGGAGTTGCGTCTTTCCTCCATGCCTGTCAGGCCCCGCCCCCTCTTTTTCTATTTTTTAGGATGGTACCCATATATACTTGTGGTAACTTTTTAACTTATTGAGTGCTCTTACTATTTTATTGTTTTTCATTGTTGCCTCCGGCTGCCTCTGGGGAGAGAGGCTAACCTCCTTTCATTGGAGGCTTCTTTTCCTCGCTTTAGCCAGCAGGAACTCTTGGTCCCTCTTCGCTTGTCTTTCGACGGTTACCTGGTTCCAGATCGCCTGGAAGATATCCATGGACACATCAGGGCCATACCAGGTAACTCGCTGCCTCACCTCAGCCAGAAAATCTTTGCAAGAGTCAGAGTATGCCATACTTGCCTGCTCCAAGTCAATAGACACCTCTACTTCCAGGGGTGCTGCACGAATGCTAGCATTGCCCTCACTATGATTAACACGTTACCGGTGTCTCCAGGATGCTAGTTACTTTGGCTGAAAAGAGACGTGTCCATCAAGTTCAGCTTTCCTCACATCTGCTTTTTGCTGTTGGTCCAAAATACTGTCTGAAGCACGTCCAAGTTTGCAAAAACTAGGGGGGGAAAAATCCTTCTTGACATCAGAATGGCAGTCAGATTCATCCTTGTATCAAGAAGATATTACACTAAAGTTGAAAAAATTTATCATTGAATATTATGGTTTTGCAAGTATGCATATAGTTGTTGTTTAAACATCTGCACAGACTCTGATAAACCCACTTATTCAGGCAGAGAATTCCACACCCTTATTGTTCTTCTCGTAAAGAAAAAAACCTTTCTATTGCCTTAGGCTAAAATCTTCTTTCTTCCAGTCTAAACATATGACATTGTGGCCTATGTATAGCCCTGTTTGTGAATAGATTTCCAGACAATTATTTGTATTGGCCCTGGATATATTTATATAATGTTATCATATCCCCTCTGAGATGTAGTTTTTCTAAGCTCAAGAGGTTTAAATTTGTTAACCCTTTTCATAGGTAAAATATTCCATTCCTTTTTATTAATTTTGTAGCCCGCCTCTGCACTATACTAGTGACATAATATCCTTCTTTGGAATAGGTGCCCAAAATTGCACAGCATATTCAAGATGTGGTCTTACCAGTGATTTTTTTTTTGTCAATCTTTGTTTTTATTGAGGTATAGATTAAGAAACAATACAAAAACTAAGGGGGTAAATAAACAATAAAAAAAACTAAGCAGGCATTAAGTCCCCCCCTCCCTTCTTACCTTTACCCTGGGAGGGGGGGACAGGCACGGTGGTGTCTGGGAGGGGAGGGACCGGCACTCGGACACCATCCCTGGTGGTCCAGTGGTGAGTGAACTCTAGCCTGAGTGAGTGAACTCTAGCGCTCGGATAGCGCCGGCCCTGCATAGACCGGCAGGGGAGATCCTGGGACCTCCCCTGCCGACCTCGGCCCCACGGCCACCGCGGCCCACCGGGCATTTGCTCGATTTGCTCCAATCATAGTGCTTTGACAGGTCACAATCAACTCAGTGAAGACTGCATTTACCATCCTGCAGAAACACCCATCACTCTCAGGCCTCACTTCACAATCAACTCAGTGAAGACTGCATTTACCATCCTGCAGAAACACCCATCACTCTCAGGTACTGACTGAAGCTTGGAAGATACTCCACCTCCCGTATTACTGGATTGCTACAAAATTCTCATGTTTTACTATAGAGTTGTTACAATTGATACCTGTAGTTTGCCACTGTAATGTTATGTGCATGCAGTGTGTACCACTGTCATTTAATGTTTGTGACCAATATTTCATGTAGACAGTTATTAATATTTAGGGTGATAGAATTTGATTGCTAAACTTTTCATTAGTCTATAACACATACCTACTCTGCCCCCCCCACTCTCCTTTTCCCTTCCCCTTTCGTAAATACCTTCATTAACTGTTCTATCTCTATTCCTCAGGCCTCACTTCACAATCAACTCAGTGAAGACTGCATTTTTTTCTCCCCACCCGCCCTCCCCTCCTCCCGCCCAGGCTCCCCTTAAATATATAGCATGCTCCTCCAGCTGTTCGAGATTCTCACCCAATTACCTGTTCATTCCCCTAACATCTTACCAATAGCTGCTTCTCTGTTAACTCTTTCAGCCATCACCTCCAAACTTCCCCTGCTACCTTTTGTCTCAAGGGCCATCTAGCTAAGCACTTTGTATAAAAGAGCTCCAATGGCTAGATATCAGCTTACGGGCAGGGCTCTCTTACCTCTTGTATTTGTTTGTGTATATTGTACGTTTCTCAACTAATTGTACAGCGCTGCGGAATCTGTGTGCGCTTTATAAATTGCAATAATAATAATAATGCAAATCAGGGAGTTAAAGCATATCAACACATAGTATACAAGGCATATTAAGTACTCCAGCATGGGTCAACATCTTTTATATATATTAGGATAGAAATACAAGTTAGACTATTAGTGTTAGCAGTGATGTGTTGGTCTAGTTATAAGGGATTCCAAGGCAATTCAGGCACCATCTTACACTGCACTTTAAATGTGGGTTGTTATACAGGTTTCAAACATTAAATTCTAGTAGAATAAACATATATATGGTTACCTAAGCTGGCGCCTAAAACTGTAGGTGGCACCAAGGGTAAAAACCACTGAGTAATTAGAGCTAACTATGGCAGACACGTATCAGGGTCTCCTATTAGGACTACCAGTGTAGGCTTGAAAGAACAGTTTGGATCTAATCTCCCTGATGCATGAGGACCAGACCTAGAGCTTGGTACGGCATATGGTATGCTAGGTGTAGAGCCAATTCTTGGTGGCACGCCATTTCCAAAAATGTTGCTAACTTCCATTAGCATATTGTTAAAGTTGACGTGTAGTAGGCACTGAGCCAGGGGGAACACAGTCAAGGCACACATAGGAGCGAGACAAGAATAAATGGCAGAGAGAACATTAATTAAGGTATAGCATACATTTCAAAGTAATCTAGTACCCACCAATATGGCATAAATCAGAATGGTAAATGCAATATTAGATTAGAACTCAGTAAAACTTAAATTAGCGTTAGTGAGATGGTAGGTGAAGTCTGCAAGGCTCTCGTGTCCAGGTAGTATGTGAGGGCTTAGGTATGCAACCGTCTCCTATTGCCGGCAGACTCAACAGAGGCAGAATCATGTCGATAGGAGGTGGCAGTGTCAGGTAGCGTGTTGTCAGTCCTGAATCCAGGTTCACATGCTCAGCCCACACAAGACTTGGAAACGGGTGAGGGCAATTCTGAGGTGATGCTAGGCAAGAGCATTGTGTGGCTTACTTCCTGTCGCAGGCAGGGTTATGGGCCTGCATTGTTACATCACGGGGGCTCATAGCAGAGTCCATGTCCTTTCCTGGCGGGATGTGACAGAAGCCCCAGGTTATCTGCGAAGGGTTTTCTGCCCTTGTGGTCGATGTGGTGGGTGAGTTACCTGTTGGCCCTCTTGAGAGGCTTTGCAGTTTGTTGGATGCTTGTGCCTGGAGGATTTACATGCACCTCTTGCTCATCTCCCAGTGTCGAGCCGATGCCGCTCCAGTACGCACCTCCAATTGCGCCCAGAAGCGGGTAAACAGCTCGTCCAGGCGTTGCTCCAAACTGGCATGTGGGGCTGGTTCAGCTGGCGCAGGTCGGTGGTCTTACTAGTGATTTATAATGAAACAAAATTATATTCTCATCCCAAGAATTAATGCTCTTTTTTTATGCATGACAATACCTTAAGGGCCTCAGCTACTGCTGATTGGCATTGCACATTGTTGCATAGTTTGTGTATAACAATTCCCAAATCCTTTGTGTTATCTCTAATTCACTACCATTTAGTTGCTTGTACATTCTTTACCCTGAAGTGCATAACTTTGCATTTTTCTACATTAAATTTCATCTGCCATTTGAATGCCCAGTCCCCCAGTCTATGTAAATCGTTCTGCAGCAAAGTAATACTGTTTCTTGCTCACATTGCATTACTTTACAGAGTTTTGTGTAATCTGTAAACACTGAAACATGACTTTCAATACTTTTTTCAAGATCATTTATAAACAGAACCCTCAGGGAAACCACTTACAACCTCTGTCCAGTTTGAAAATTTACCATTAATGACAACTCTCTGTACTCTATTTTAAAGCCAACATTCTACCCAAGAACAAGAATTTCCATCTAGACCGATTTCTTTGAGTTTGAACACTAATCTATTGTGTGAAACTGTATCAAAAACGCCTTGGAAAAATCCAAGTAAATTACATCCACTGCAACACCATGATCTATACTTCTACTTACTTCTTCGTAGAATGCAATTAAGTTAGACATAGAATGTGACGGCAGAGAATAACCATTCGGCCCATCTAGTCTGCCCAATTTTCTAAATACTTTCATTAGTCCCTGGCCTTATCTTATAGTTGGGATAGCCATATGCCTATCCCATGCATGCTTAAATTCCTTAATTGTGTTGACCTCTACCACTTCAGCTGGAAGGCTATTCCACGCATCCACTACCCTCTCAGTAAAGTAATACTTCCGGATATTATTTTTAAACCTTTGCCCCTCTAATTTAAGATTGTCTTCTTGTTTTGGTAGTTTTTCTTCTTTTAAATATAGTCTCCTCCTTTACTGTGATGATTCCCGTTATGTATTATCCTGTAATCCATGAACAAGTTTAGTAGCCCTTTTCTGAACTCTCTCTACAGTATCAATATCCTTCTAGAGGGGGGCGTGGCCAAGACACCGATGTGCATGGACGCATGAAGACTGAGCTCCGTCCCTGACAGAGCGCTATAGGGGATACCTGGCATCCAACAGCACACATGGCAACCAAAAAGAATCGCAGCAATGCGGGGAACACCCCAGCGACGGATTCTCCAGCTGCCAAAATATCCTTAAGGAGATTTTTTACAGAGCAATCAGACCCGCAAGGACGCAGCAAGATGGCGCCCGTGGGAAACACACGAGGCGTCCAGCCCATCAGCATCGGAATGCTCGGCAGAGGAATCCGATATTAGGGCAATACTAACCCAACTGCCCTCCAAGACTGACCTTGCAGCCATGTTTCAAAGGCTAGAGGACAGTTTTAGCGAAAAACTCCAAGCAGTGAGCGCAGATGTGCAGCAACTAGGCGACAGAGTGCAGGCCTTGGAAGAAGAGACTGAAACTGCCGACAGGCAGTGGGCTGAATGCCACACTACACAAGAGACACACTCTGAAGCCATCAGATACCTACAAAGGAGGCTGGAAGATGTTAACAATCGGAGGTGACTAAATAACCCGAGGGTAAGAGGTATACCTGAGGGGCCGGACGGCACCACCTAGAACCACATACAGATCCTAACTACCTTCTTCAACCATATTCTTGCCAGACCCCCAGAAACGGCCATCCAGTTCGACAGAGCCCACAGAGCAGCAAGGCCCAGAAATCTACCCCCATACAGGCCACGAGACATTATATGCAGAATACATAACTTCCCTTTGAAAGAGGAGATCTTTCATAAAGCCCGCCAAAATAAAGAACTATCGGTCGACGGCCATCAGGTGACCATGTTCCAAGACTTATCACCGTCCACCCTGCAGGCAAGAAGGGCCTTACGACCTATCACACAGGCTCTGATGGAGAGACAAATCAAGTTTAGGTGGAACTTTCCATTTGCTTTAACAGTGACCTATAAGAATACGACTCACACCATTACTACGCCAGCGGATATACCCGACTTCCAGAGGGACCTGAATCTGCCACCATCCGAGGTGGATGACTGGACTGGCCTATCATGTCCCCCACCAAAGCAGACGCAGCAACGACCTAAAGGGCAAAGAACCACAAGGAAGAGACACAGGTTGACCCAAAAATGAACCGATGCCCATGCCTTGCCCGGAGATAAAGCAACCTGAGCACTGGCATGGTCATACAAGCATATCCTTTGCGTTAAATCTAAACTCTGTGACTTAAACATCAACTAAACTGTGTATAAGATTTAGATGTTATACTATCTTATTGCCAATGTTATGTTTATAGAATGTAGATTATGCCGCTACCAGGCCCCTCTGGCCCTAGACACCAGCAGCACGGTTATAAGTGAGTTAAAGGGGCCCACAGGGACCTGGCCTACAGGGTGAATGCAGACCTACAATCTGTCCCTCACTGCCTTACTAGCTAGAGGAGGAGGGGGAATAGCATAAAATTCTCAGTCACCCTAAGGGAACCCCCGTCGGCCCTTGGTCACCACCCCCAGAGAGGCGCCCCGACACAACTTGTGGAAACGAGAACGTCACCCACAAGTGTACCGCCAAACTCACTCCAGATATGAAATCCTCATATCATATTGTACAAAGTTCAAATTCCCCCTGAGTTTACCCCATTTACACCATTCCTGCCTACATAATCATGAGCTGCGCTACAATAGAAGGCGCACTCCTAAGGTCCCATGCTAAAACAAGAGGTCGCGCATACCGTTATCATGGCCCAAACTAAACTCATGTCCCTGAATGTACGGGGACTAAACTCCCCCATGAAGCGAATGATGCTAGCACAAGAAATAGACATGCAGGGAGCTGACTTAGTCTTCCTGCAGGAAACCCATTACATGGGAGAGTTTAAACCGAAACTTAGATCAAAACTTATTCAAGCTTCCTACTATAGCAAAAATGTTAGACAGAAATCTAGGGGTGTGGCGATTTTGATTGCATCCACCGCAGCCTTTACCGAGATCAGTGTCAAAACTGACCCAAGGGGTAGGTTTGTGAAGGGGATATACAATGGAGTTCTTACAACACTGGCGAGTGTTTATGCTCCAAACTCAGACCAAGTACCCTATATATGCTCTTGCCTAGCCAAGTTAGAAGGTTTTGCTGAGGGAGCTGTAATTGAAGCGGGAGACTGGAACATGGTGTTAGACCACTCAATTGACAGTTCATCTAAGACTACAGACCCCCGACACCGCCAACGGACACTGTTCTCTAACGTGCTCCGCACCCATCAATTAATGGACTGCTGGCGCATATTACACCCTCAAGAGAGGGACTACTCTTATTACTCCCAGGTAGCGAACAGCTACTCCAGAATTTACATATTTTTCCTCAGCCATAGACATAATCCCCTACTGAGCGAAACATCCATAGGCAACATCACGTGGTCGGACCATGCCCCAGTTTTCTTATCTGTCGCCCTTCAGAGAGATCCCAAATGTACCACACACTGGCAACTGAACGAGACCCTGCTAGATGACCCGACAGTAATAGACGACCTGAGACAGACAATAGGCAACTACTTCACAGATAACGATACAGCAGAGGTATCCGACCAATGGGTCTGGGAAGCACACAAGGGGGCTACGAGAGGCACCCTAATTAAATGGGGATCTAGAATCAAGAAAGAACGCACACACAAACTTAACTCCCTTACAACGGCAATACACCACGCTGAATCCCTGCACAAACAGGATCCTACAACCGAGAACTTCCAGAAATTTACGGCCCTCCGAATAAAAAATGCGATCATTATTAGCCCTTAAAGCACACAGATCGGTCCAGCTGACCAGGGGCTCCTTTTATACCCAGGGTAATAAAAGCGGGAGACTATTGGCCCGAGCCCTAAAAACTAAACACCAGAGGTCCTCTATCGATAAAACAGGGAAACAATGCAATACCACAGACGACATAGCCACAGCATTTAGTACCTTTTACAAAGACCTCTACAATCTAGACCCACCAAGTAAACGACCTAACAACCTGAGGGAATATATCACCTCAAACCTTCCACATACTATCCCCAACGACACAGCACTCACACTCGACGAGCCATTCTCCCCAGCGGAACTATCACTAGCTATTAAGACTCTACCAAAAAGGCAAGAGCCCAGGCCCAGACGGAATGACTGCGAGATACTACCACACACTTGCACAGGAGCTAATCCCTCACTTTCTTAAGTCACTAAACGGCCTGACCCGGGACAATCCACTACCACCCCCGATGTTACGTGCATCGATCACTATTATTCTAAATCCGGGCAAAGACCCCACAAAGTGTGGGAGCTACAGACCCATCTCATTGATAAACCTGGATCTAAAACTAATGGCGAAAATCGCTAACCGGCTTAAACCCTTATTACCGGGACTAATCCACCCTGATCAGGCCGGCTTTGTGCCTGGACGCGAAGCCAGGGACAATACCACAAAAATCCTAAACGTCATACATGGGGCAACTGTAACGGGCACACCAACACTGCTCATGGCAATAGACGCTGAAAAGGCATTAAACAGGGTGGATTGGTCCTATCTCTTCATGGTCCTGGGGACTGGCCCGAGACTAAGGAATTGGATACAAACCTTATACAGGGGACCATCCGCCAATGTCAGGGTCAACGGCCACTTATCCACACCCTTTCAGATAAATAATGGTACACGCCAAGGATGCCCCCTCTCCCCCCTCCTATTTGTCCTAGCTACGGAACCCTTCCTTATGGTCATCAGGAATAACAACAACATACGGGGGCACCGGTACCCTGTGGGGGGGGGGGGCAAAGGTATCCGCATTTGCATATGACGTCCTCTTGATGATCACTGATCCGATCAAAACCCTCCCACAGATACAAACGGAGATTGGAATCTTTGGGACCTTATCTAATTTTAAGATAAATGCTGACAAATGCGAAATCCTGGGGATTTCTGTACCCCCTTCCCTACAAACACGGATACAACGTACGCACACCTTCCCTTGGACTCAAGCCGGACTAACCTACCTGGGAATCAGACTAACAACATCGCACAAGAGCCTATACAAACTCAACTATCCTCCCCTTATAAGCAGCATTAAACAGGACCTCCACAAGTGGGATCCTCCCCACTTCTCCCTAATGGGTCGGATCAACATCTTGAAAATGAATGTCCTACCGAAAATACTTTACCTGTTCCCCTCCCTAGGGACTTTTTCAGACAAATGCAAACCTTATTTATAACCTACACCTGGGGCAACAAACCGGCCAGAATAGCCTACTCCACACTGACATCCAACATAGGCAGAGGAGGCCTGGGTCTCCCCCACATATACAAATACTATGTAGCGGTATTATTTACCCGCATAAAGGAATGGACAAACACAAGCAGGAAAAAAATCATGGTATGAATTGGAACAGAGCTTTGTACGGGCTCCTCTCCATACACTACCATGGCAAACCTGTCAACTCAAGGAACTCTCCCCAACGCATCACCCACTCAATCACAATGCCCTCACAAAATGGAGACGATACGAAGACACATGGGGACTATCCCCGGCACTAAGTTTTTCCCCTTAGCAGGCAACCTAGACTTCCAGAGAGGACAGGGGAGTTCCACCCTAGTAAGGCTTACAGGATCGCCAAACCCAGACATCACTGAGGTTCTGACAGCCGGGGACCCACCCACATTAAAACTCTCCCTAGACGGAATAGACAGGATACACTCCTCGATATTATGGGCAGAACACAACTTAAGAACTTTTTAAATAGGTCGGTCATCCCCTTTTGGCGTCCAAGAGATATTACTCCCTTTGAAAACCTATGTGGCCCAAAGAGCGACTCAAAACGACCCCTATCAAAAATATATCGCATTATTCAGACAACTGAAGTCGAGCATACACCACCTACATTCCAACAGAAATGGATGAGAGACCTCCATATACATATGACGGACAGGGACTGGACAGACATTATGGAAACAGGGATTAGAACCCCTATTAGTGTGGCCCGTAAAGAGACCTTTTACAAAAGAGTCACTAGATGGTACAGAACACCAGCTATACTCCACACATTCTGGCCCACCGTCAGTGACACATGCTGGAGATGCTCTGGGGGTCAGGGAGACATGGAACACATCTGGTGGAGTTGCAGATACTGGATGACATAGCGGAAATTCTCGCACTGCGAGCCAGTCTGACCCCATCTCACGTACTACTGGGCTGGCCTCGCTCCTTCAAGGAGCCACACAAACAGCAACTTCTACAAATTCTGCTTGGGGAAGCCAATGCTCTCGTGCCAACGCACTGGCGTCGACCCAGTGTGCCATCAAGGGAGCAATGGGTACGGCGGGTAGAATGTGCAAGAGAAATGGAAGAAATACACTGGTCAGTACTAGAGAGACGGCACAAATACCTTAAAACATGGAAGCCCTGGATTGAGTTTTGGAGAAGCCCCCCAGGGATGGCCTCACCCGCACCCCCCTAGCCAAGGGGCTGATCACCCCTACTTAGACCGAGACTGTCAAAAAAAATAGGACCATAGGAGTACCCACAAGAACCAAATTAAGCATCACCAGGCAGGACAATTATTCCCCCCCCACCCTTCCCTCACTACCCTTCCACCCATCCAGGTTTACTCCCCTAAAGGACACCCACGCCATAGTAATACATTCTCTCAATGGAAACGAGCTAAGCTGTAAGCACCTTGCACTCTAGAACCATATCCGGTACGCCAGAACCTCACAATGAAGGTCGCTCACGCAGCTGAATAAGACGAACAGAGTTATCAGTGGTATTTAACTATGTGCAATTGTATTACAATACCCTACTATGTTACATCTAAACAATCCTTCTTTTCTTCTGTACCCCATGACCTTTACGCTTTTGAAAAAAAAAAAAAATAATAAAAAAAAATAATAATAATTAAAAAAAAAAAAAATCCTTCTGGAGATATGGTCTCCAGTACTGCGTACAATACTCCAAGTGAGGTCTCATCAGTGTTCTGTACAATGGCATGAGCACTTCCCTCTTTCTACTGCTAATACCTCTCCCTATACAACCAGGCATTATGCTAGCATTTCCTGCTACTGTATTAAGTCGTCAGAAATAATCACCCCTAAATTCCTTCACTCAGATGTTAAGGTTAGACTATCAAATATTCTGTACTCTGCCCTTGGGTTTTTACGTCCAAGATGCATTATCTTGCACTTATCCACATTAAATGTCAGTTGCCACAATTCTGACCATTGTTCTAGTTTACTTAAATCATTTGCCATTTGGCTTATCCCTCCTGGAACATCAACCCTGTTACATATCTTAGTATCATCAGCAAAAGACTTATCAAGATCTTCTGCAATGTCACTAATAAAAATATTAAAGAGAATGGATCCAAGTACAGATCTCTGAGGTACCCCACTGGTAACAAGACCGTTCTTCAAATATATTCCACTGACTACAACCTTCTGTTGCCTGTCATTTAGCCACTGCATTACCCATTCAACAATATTGGAATCCAAACTTAAAGATTGCAGTTTATTGATTAGACTTCTGAAAGATGCATATTACCACATGTCCATATTCCAGGTTTCGTCAAAGATTCCTCAGATTTTGTATTGCAGGCAAACACTTTTAGTTCCGGCCTCTTCTCTTTGGGATCAGTATGGCTCCAAGAACCTTCTCCAAGGTGTTCGTAAGGATCATTGTGCTTCTGAGGAAAAAAAAAAAAAAGGAGTGGCCATTTATCATTACTTGGACGACATCCTGGTGGTCCCTCCTGAATACGAAATTATGATCCAACATCGATCCATAGTTCTTCAAACTTTTACCAGTTTCATTTGGTTGATCAACCAGGAGAAAAGCCAGCTTCAACCCTTCAGAGAATCCATCTTTCTAGGAATAGATTTCAATACCCATTTGGCAATGGTGTCTCTATCACACTAAAGAAAACTTATCCTTTTTTCCCTATGAGTGAATTCAGATCCAGATCCTCAGCCAAGACAAGACTCTTTATGAAAATTATAGGAACCCTTTCATCCACAATAGGCCTAGTAAGATGGGCACAGCAGAATCTTCAACCTCTTTAATAGCACTTTCTGTATCATTTCAATTCCAGCTCTCAAGATTCTCCCAATTTAAGACAATTGAAAAAAAGGACTTCACATGGTGGCTGGCATGGGACAATCTCTCCAAGGGATTCCCTCTGATCGAAATAGAGGATTAAAGGTTACATACCTGGCATTACTCCACTTTCAATGGATAAAACTAGGTTTAGAATACAGGGCAGCAGCCGCATACATCAACAATCAGGGAGGTACCAGAAGTCGTTTGCTATTCAACCTGTTATGGTCAGGACTCAAACATATTCAAAAGAAGAAAACGATTGCAGACTTCCTCAGCAGACACAGGGTTGAGCAAACAGAATGGCATTTGTAGCGGAGCCTTAGTTTAACATAGACTTTCTCCGCTGGTATTCCAAGAGTTACTCAGGATCAACTAGGTTATCACAGGAAGAACAGCATAAGGAGTAAATAAATAAATCCACGAATATCATATCACTTTTCCCAATAACTGGACGACACACAGTATTAGCACTCAATTTTAATGCCACGTACTCTGCTTTTATGCATTTCTTCTATGCAAGGGAGACACCCACAGAAAATTAGGCATTCTCCAATCACTAACTGGTTACAGCCCACACATTTCCTCCCCTTAGCCTGTGAGATAACATAATTAACTGTACATTTGAAACACACATTTTTCCCCAATTTCTGGATGTACCCCAAGACTATGACTTACACCCATTTATTAAATATCCCCTGATAGCCCTGATCTGGGTGAGCAACATACCTCAAAAATCACACAGATCGGTTTAGGGGTTCGTGAATTTTTTTGGAGGTCTTTGTTTTACCGATCGCACACGAGGTGGTAGCCGAAAGGAGTTCCATATGTTTTGGCCTTGCGGTCGGTCTCCGTTCGTGAGGTGAAAAACCCGAAATAAGTCAATACAATGGGCTCTGCCTGGGTTCGGATGATTCCCCTCGTTAGTGTGTATCTTTTCACCGAACGCTGTGCCGTTTGTATGTTTTCCCACAAAGGGGGGGGAGGGGGGGGAAGTATGGAGGTCTCTGCGGTGTTCGCGTGGTCGAGTGTCCGATTTGGGTTCCACACACTCAACGACCAAACACCGCAGGTGCGTTTGTATTGGAAAGGTGGCCACCGCCACGTGTTCACATATCGAACGGCGCCCACCCAGGGAATACACAATGTGTTCGTGTGGTTATCAATGAAGGTACTGTGAATAACTATGCGGATGTTAATTAGAGCCACATTCCTCTCTGGGGTGGCCTGGTTGTTCGGTCGTTTGTCGAACGGAAATGTTTAATAGGTTTGCAATTGGGTTTCTACCGAACAACCAGACGAATGCTATAGCAGCCAACTTGTTACTTGTTTCCTTAAAAGTAACAAACTGTGGCAAATTGGGCATAATACTGCAACAATCAAAGTTATGGACAGCCAAAGTTAACCCCTTAAGGACCAAACTTCTGGAATAAAAGGGAATCATGACATGTCACGTGTCCTTAAGGGGTTAAGGAAGGTGGTTAGTAACCAAATGCAATCCGCTACAGCATCTATCCAAGAAAACATTCAAAGAATTGGTCCAGAAGTGGTCTACCCCAAGACCTCATGGCAACAGCTCAGAATGCTCAGGTTCCGGGATGCTCTCTCTGTGGATTGGTCGTTCGATCAGACTAATATATTCCCCTCATACCATCAGTACTGAGGAAAACTATGTAAGGTCTTCCAGATCAAGTTGTCTCTATGCTTATGTGTTCTAGGAATGTTTCAACACCCAATACATATCACAAGTTACGGCAAACTTTTTGCACAATGGTTGAAAATAGAAATACATTCTTTAAAGAGCCCATTCATTTCTGAGGTACCAGGATTTTGACAAGCTGGTTTTGATTAAGGTCTCAGTATTAACACTTTGAAAGTACATTGTTTCACTATATCAGGGATTAGATGGGCAGAACATCCTACGGTGGAGTGTTTTTTCAAGGCTGTTTTCAGGAAAGTCACAATTCCTTGGGGTTTAGTTCTAGTTCTTCATGCCATGACTGAAAGCCTCTTTGAACCCATAGAAGAAATTTCTAATCTGACACTTTCCTAGAAAACTCTCCTACGGATTGCTCTAGTATCAGCCATAAGAATGGCAGACTTAATAGCATTATTAGTATAAGAACAATATATCACCTTCTATCATGACACATTAATACTTTGTCCCAGAACACAATTTCTGCCTAAAGTGGTTTTGGCTTACCAGTTAAATCAAGAGATTATACTTCCAGTATATTTCTCTCCATCTGTATTGAGAGGACGGCTTCCTGGAGAAATACTAATCAGCTTTTGCCGATCCCTTGGGGTTTAAGAGAAGGTGAAGCCGCTTCTCTCCACCTTCGCTCTTGGACAGTCTCAGAAATATACAGAGCATATAGAGCTCAAGATGTACCAATTTCTAAAGATATCCAGGCTCACTCCACAAGATCCATATCAACCAATTAGTCAGCAGAATCCAGCGTTTCAGCAGAGAGCATTTGTACAGCTGATAATTGGTCAACACTTAAGACCTTTGTCCGACATTATAAAGTGGACTTCTCCTCAGTTCCTGATTCCCAATTTGGTCTATCCATTCTGAATTCTTGTAATGCCCGTACTCATTTTGAAATAAATCATTAAGCATCTTAAGCCCTGCCTGTGTATCTATATATTACTTGGGGATTCCCCATTAGTTAAATGCTGCCATGATTAACCAGGAACACAGAAAAATTATTTATACTTAGCATGATTTTCTTTACCTGGCTAATATTCATGTCAGCATTTAGGTTTCCCACCCAACTTTTTACTAGACTAGAGTATAAGTGTCTATGGGAATCTTTTATAACCTAATCTTAATTGTCAGGTTGTTTTTCTCTGTCCTATTAGCTGGAGGGAGGAGCTAGCCCATTCGTTAAATGCTGCCATGAATATTAGCCAGTAAAAGAATATTACAGTAAGTGTGAATACATTTTCCATGTTGTCAGAGATACCAATAAATATAAGTTTAATTGTATCGATAATTTACATTTTAATTATTGTGAGCAGTTGTATAGGCAGGGCCCTGTTGCACTGCTTTGCCTCGGGGCCTATAAAGCTGTTAAGACGGGTCTGATCTGGTGGGCAAAACACACCAACATGTAAATTTAAAGTACTACTGGTAATTTGCGAAAGGAAAATGTAAATGATTCACACTAAGCTCACAGTCCAATTTCGGTGAAAGGCTAATTGCTCACAGATGGAAACACAGACCCTTTAAAGTGTCTGTTCCACCAGCCCTAGGCTGCCACAAAAGCCTGCACATAATATCCACTGATCTGTCTTTCATCTGCTCCAAAATCAGTTTCACGGGAGGATCCATCAGTATGTGGTGGATATAATCGGTCAAATGCCCTCCAAGGCTGTGCAGAAGGAATAATAACCATGGGTTCTCGGCCCAGGTATGAGGTAACAAGACTAGAAATGTGTAGTGGAGCTGTTTCATAGTGGTCGGCTTGCTATTCTTTTCTTGGAGCTCAGGTAAGACACTATCAAGGCGTTTGCTTACTGTAGCCCAAAACTACAGGCAAAGCTAGTCGAAAGACTGCACTAGCAGAACCATGGGTGAGAACGGAACCATAAGGAAAGGCCTTGCAGAAAGCCGCATGGCAGTGGCCATCGTAAAGGTAAGACCCTGTGCAACAAACCGATATGGACAGCGACAGTTTCTTTGGGGGCAAAGTATGCACTCCATTGGAGACCGGGATAACCCTTACCAGTTCAGAGGTGGGTGGAAATAGCCCAAACATAAGTCACAACAGATACAGAGCAGGGAGCAGCTGTATCATCCACCTCGATTTTGGCCATAGGCCTCAGACTGCACAAATGCTTGTAGCACTCAGCGGCGCAAATACAAATTCAGATCAGGTCAGGAATGGCTTCCTCAGGTGAGAAGAGCAGGTTTTCTGCTGAAAATAGAGAGGAATCTCAATTTGTATGCTTAGAGGCAGTGGTTTTTGCCAAATGTGACATCCAATATGAATATTACTTTTAATTTTTAACAATTCACTGAACTTTATCTAGGGCTATAGCTCCAGCCAGTGTGAATGGGATACAGTCAGACCCTGGCTCTGTGTGTGTGTGTGAATGGGAATTCAGTCAGACCCTGGCTCTGTGTGTGTGTGTGAATGGGATTCAGTCAGACCCTGGCTCTGTGTGTGTGTGTGAATGGGATTCAGTCAGACTCTGGCTCTGTGTGTGTGTGAATGGGATTCAGTCAGACTCTGGCTCTGTGTGTGTGTGAATGGGATTCAGTCAGACTCTGGCTCTGTGTGTGTGTGAATGGGATTCAGTCAGACTCTGGCTCTGTGTGTGTGTGAAGTCAGACTCTGGCTCTGTCAGTCAGACCCTGGCTCTGTGTGTGTGTGTGAATGAGATTCAGTCAGACTCTGGCTCTGTGTGTGTGTGAATGGGGTCCAGTCAGACTCTGGCTCTGTGTGTGTGAATGGGGTCCAGTCAGACTCTGGCTCTGTGTGTGTGAATGGGGTCCAGTCAGACTCTGGCTCTGTGTGTGTGAATGGGGTCCAGTCAGACTCTGGCTCTGGGTGTGTGAATGGGGTTCAGTCAGACTCTGTGTGTGTGAATGGGGTTCAGTCAGACTCTGGCTCTGTGTGTGTGAATGGGGTTCAGTCAGACTCTGGCTCTGTGTGTGTGAATGGGGTTCAGTCAGACTCTGGGTGTGTGAATGGGGTTCAGTCAGACTCTGGGTGTGTGAATGGGATTCAGTCAGACTCTGGGTGTGTGAATGGGATTCAGTCAGACTCTGGGTGTGTGAATGGGATTCAGTCAGACTCTGGCTCTGTCTGTGTGTGTGAATGGGGTTCAGTCAGACTCTGGGTGTGTGAATGGGATTCAGTCAGACTCTGGCTCTGTCTGTGTGTGTGAATGGGGTTCAGTCAGACTCTGGCTCTGTGTGTGTGAATGGGGTTCAGTCAGACTCTGGCTCTCTGTGTGTGTGAATGGGGTTCAGTCAGACTCTGGCTCTGTGTGTGTGAATGGGGTTCAGTCAGACTCTGGCTCTGTGTGTGTGAATGGGGTTCAGTCAGACTCTGGCTCTGTGTGTGTGAATGGGGTTCAGTCAGAGACTCTGGCTCTGTGTGTGTGAATGGGATTCAGTCAGACTCTGGCTCTGTGTGTGTGAATGGGATTCAGTCAGACTCTGGCTCTGTGTGTGTGTGTGTGTGTGAATGGGGTTCAGTCAGACTCTGGCTCTGTGTGTGTGAATGGGGTTCAGTCAGACTCTGGCTCTGTGTGTGTGAATGGGGTTCAGTCAGACTCTGGCTCTGTGTGTGTGAATGGGGTTCAGTCAGACTCTGGCTCTGTGTGTGTGTGTGAATGGGGTTCAGTCAGACTCTGGCTCTGTGTGTGTGAATGGGGTTCAGTCAGACTCTGGCTCTGTGTGTGTGTGTGAATGGGGTTCAGTCAGACTCTGGCTCTGTGTGTGTGAATGGGGTTCAGTCAGACTCTGGCTCTGTGTGTGTGAATGGGGTTCAGTCAGACTCTGGCTCTGTGTGTGTGTGAATGGGACTCGGATTATGGCTGTGTTATTGTATGAGCCCAGCTGGCCCTTGACGCGCGCCATGTGGCCCCGAAAAGGCTCCCGGCCGTGTTAATCCCGTCGCTATTCTCAGCCCAGGCATCCAGCGACTTCATACAAGATGGCGGACTTTCTCTTCAGCCCCAGAATCGGCATCAGTTTGACCACAGATGGGCGGGAACTCTTATCAGCTGACAGGGATTCCACCCAATCACAGCCCGCGTTCTCCACGCGTTAGCAGCGCGCCAGCCAATGAGGTTTGAGATGAGCGAGCCCTCGGGGTTGTTGTGGAGCCCTGCGCGCTGTATAGCTGTATTCCCCGCCCGGCTTTCAGCGCAGGGTGCTGGCAGCCCGGCCAATCAGCGCGGAGATTTGTGCGACACGTGACCCGTTCCCAGCCAATTGGCGTGTCTCCCGCCGCCCCCGGCCGGGCTGTATTGCTGCTATCCGCGGTGCGGGGCCGGGGCTGCGCGGCCGTTTCCTGCCCTGATGCATGGTGGTCGGACGGAGGGATTGTTGGAGGTTGGTATATAATGCGCTGTTACCCAGTATGCCTTGTTCCAGGCGGGAGCCCGGGGAGCCAGGTGCAGGGCCCGGGCCGCCTGTCCCCCACCCCGGGGCTCTCCCCGCACCGAGTCCCCGGCTGCCCGGTCACAGCCCACCCCGGGACAGGCAGGGGGAGCCCCGGACTCCGCTAACCGACAGTCCCCGGCTTGAGGCCCTCACCGCCCCCCCAGCTCACCGCGACTATCGCGACATGGCCGCCGGGGGAGAGGGGCGAGATGTCACGGGGCTGGCGATAATACCGGGGATTTACTAACACACCGCACAGACACCCCGGGTACCAACCATGGCGGGACTACAACTCCCATGGTGCCTTGCCAGGACAGACACAGGCGGCGCATCATGGGAATTGTAGTGCCAACATGGCTGGGAATCTGGAGATTGATGTCTGACTGCACAGGATAAATAATATATTTAGGTAATCACTGGGATATTATAATAATAATACTATATATTACATCATTACTAATACCTTACTGGGATATTATAATAATAATACTATATATCACATCATTACTAATAATACCTCACTGGGATATTATAATAATAATACTATATATCACATCATTACTAATACATCACTGGGATATAATAATACTATATATCACGTCATTACTAATACCTCACTGGGATATAATACTATATATCACGTCATTACTAATACCTCACTGGGATATAATAATACTATATATAACATCATTAATAATACCTCACTGGGATATTATAATACTATATATAACCTCACTGGGATATAATAATACCTCACTGGGATATAATAATACTATATATAACATCATTCCTCACTGGGATATTATAATACTATATATAACCTCACTGGGATATAATACTATATATAACCTCATTAATACCTCACTGGGATATAATAATAATGCTATATAGTACATCACTAATAATACCTCACTGGGATAAAATAATAATACTATATATTTCATCATTAATAATACCTCACTGGGATATAATAATTCTATATATTACATTACTAATACCTCACTGGGATATAATAATAATACTATATATTACATCATTACTAATACCTCACTGGGATATAATAATACTATATATTACATTACTAATACCATACTGGGATATAATAGTACTATATATTACATCATTACTAATACCTTACTGCGTTATAATACTATATATTACATTAATAATACCTCACTGGGATATAATACTATATATTACATCATTAATACCTCACTGGGATATAATACTATATATTACATTACTAATACCTCACTGCGTTATAATACTATATATTACATTACTAATACCTCACTGGGATATAATAATACTATATATTACATTAATAATACCTCACTGGGATATAATGCTATATATTACATTAATAATACTTCACTGGGATATAATAATACTATATATTACATTAATAATACTTCACTGGGATATAATAATACTATATATTACATTACTAATACCTCACTGGGATATAATACTATATATTGCATTACTAATACCTCACTGCGTTATAATACTATATATTACATTAATAATACCTCACTGGGATATAATACTATATATTACATTAATAATACCTCACTGGGATATAATAATACTATATATTACATTAATAATACCTCACTGGGATATAATAATACTATATATTACATTACTAATACCTCACTGGGATATAATAATACTATATATTACATTACTAATACCTCACTGGGTTATAATACTATATATTACATTACTAATACCTCACTGGTATATAATACTATATATAACATTACTAATGCCTCACTGGGTTATAATACTATATATTACATTACTAATACCTCACTAGGATATAATACTATATACTACATTACTAATACCTCACTGGGTTATAATACTATATATTACATTACTAATACCTCACTGGGATGTAATACTATATATTACATTACTAATACCTCACTGGGTTATAATACTATATATTACATTACTAATACCTCACTATATTACTATATATTACATTACTAATACCTCACTGGATTATAATATAATAATTCTATATAGTCAATTACTGGGTTATAATATAATAATGCTGTATAATACCTCACTGGCATATAATAAAATTACTGCTATATAGTCAGTCACTGGTGTATAATATAATAATGCTGTATAATATTTCACTGATTTTATTATATAATGCTTTATAATAATGCCTCACTGGCTTATAATATAATACCTCGCTGGTTTACTGTACAATAATGCTGTATAATACCTCACTGATTTATAATATAATAATACCTCATTGTCTTGTAATAATGCGGTATAAGACTTCACTGGCTTGTCCTTTAATAATGCAGTAAAATATCTCACTGGGTTATAATATAATAATGCTGTATAATCCCTCACCAAGTTATAATATGATATACCTTACTGGGTTATCATAATAATATAATATCTTACTGGGTTATAATAATACTATATAATACCTCCCTGTGTGGTGGTAATAATATTATGATACCTCACTTGGTTATATCGTAATACTGTATCACTGGGTTATAATATTACTATATGATACCTCACTGAGTTTAAATATAATACCTGACTAAGTTATAATATAAAAATACCTCACTGGGTTATAATTTATAATACCTATCTTTTATAATAATACTAATTCTCTCACTGCTAGGTTGTTATACTATATATAACAATAATACCTCACTGAAGTATTATAATAATACTATATAATACCTCACTGCTGGATAATAACAATACTATATATTACATAATCCCTCACTACTGGGTTATAGTAATAGTATATTTTACATAAATAATATCTTAATGCTGGGATATATTACAGTATAATCACTGCTAAGTTATATTTTAATAATGATTCTACATAATACCTCATTGCCGAGTTATATTTTAAAATTAGATTGTAAGCTAGTTTGAACCTCTGCATCATGTTGTTCCTGTAAATTTTATTGTTAAATCTCCCTAACCAATAATATTGTAATGCGCTGTGAAATTTGTTGGCGCTATATAAATGCCAATAATAATATAACTATGTAATACCCCAGTACTGGATTATTTTATAATAATGTTATATAATTCCTTACTGCTCGCTTATATTATAAAAATATTAACAATACTATATAATGCCTTGTTCCTGGGCTTTAGTATAATAACATTACTAAATAATACTTCACTGTTGGGTTATATTTTAATAATGATACTAGCTAATTCACTGCTGGTTTGAGATTTGTTTTGTTTTTTTAAATATTACTGTATAATACTTCACTTCTGAGTTCTATTTTAATAATGTTACTATTTAATACCTCACTTCCGGGTTATCTTGTGATACTACTGCTATATACTATCTCACGGCTAGGTAATATTATAATACCAGTATTGTTATATAATACTTCACTGTTGGGTTATATTTTAATTATACTATATATATATATTTAATTATACTATATAATACCTCACGGCTCGGTTATATTTTAATAAAGATACCATATACTACCTCACTTCTGGGTTATATTAATATTGCTATATAATACATCACTGTTGGGTTATGTCTATACTTCATTAATACCTCACTGCTGAGTCATGTTATAAAAATATTACTATATAATATCTCACTGTTGGTTCATTTAATAATGCTTTGTAATACTACTTAATAACTTACTGCTGGGTCATATTAATATTGCTTTATAATACCTCACTGCTGGGTTATATCAATACTACATTAATACCTCACTGCTGAGTCATATTATAAAAATATTACCATATAATATTTCACTGCTGGGTCATATAAAAATATTACTAAATAATATCTCACTGCTGGGTCATATAAAAATATTACTATATAGTTCCTCACTGCGGGTTCCTATAATAATGCTGTGTAATACTACTTTATTAATAACTTACTGCTGAGTCATATAATACTATATAAATACCTCACTGCTGGGTCATATAATAATACTTTATATTACATACATAATACTTCATTGCTCGGTCATGTAATAATACTACATTAACAATTATACTAAACCGCCATCGATATAATACATTACTAATACTTCACTGCTGGGTTATAATTCTACAATGCTAATACCTCACCGCTGAGTTATACTACAATACTAATATCTCACTGCTAGGGTTATAATACTACATTACTAATACCTCACTACAGGGTTTTAATACTACACTACTAATACTAATCACTGCTGGTGTTATAATACTATATTTGCAATACCTCATTGTAGGCTTACAAAAGGATATTACTAATTCCTCATTGCTAAGGTATAAGGCTACTTTACCAATATCCTACTGCAGGGTTATAATACTCCAAAAGTCGATGTAAATGGAAGTAAAGTGCAGCTCTGTTAACAGGATTGTCCTCTTCAATCCACAAGAAATGCAAACAATATAAAAAGTGTCACTGGCGCAATGCTCATACAAGGCAATAAATAGTGTAACGCCTCAAAACAAAGTGTCAATAAATGTATAATAATGCCTCAGGAATAAACTATTATAATTTATAAAGCGCCAACAAATGCTGCAGTGCTGTGCAATGGGTGGACTAACAGACACGTATTTGTAACCAGAGGAGATGGACGCACAGAACAGAGGGGCTGAGGGCCCTGCTCAATGAGCTTCCGTGCCATAGGGAGTGGGATATAGTGACACTAAGGGTAGGGTGGAAAAGTAACTATCACAGTGAGCATGAAAAGAAAGAAAACATAATATGCAAACATTTAAAAAAAAAAAAACCCACAGAAATACAGACAAATGGAAAAACACACAAATAATATAGCACAAAGAGATATGTCCTAAAATCGCTTTTGCCCTCAAGAGTTCTCTTATGTCCCAATAGTTTTGGTCGAGAAGTCTGGCTTGAACCCTGGTCTTCCAAACCGAGAGTTCCCGGGCTTAACTTAAAGAAAGTGCAGGCCAAGATACGAAAGTCTGTCAAATGTACAGTACAGTAACAGGTAGTAATTTACTTTTTACTGTACGTACATTATTAGCAATACTTAAAAATTAGGGATCACTGATGTCCTATTGTTTTTTGGGGGTTTTCCACAGCTAATGAAATATATGGAGCAAAGGGCAATATGACAAATACACATATCCACATAACATATATTTTCTTGTGTTAGCCATCTATAGTGGCTAAAAGGACTGATATTGGAACATTTTCCGATTCCTCTCTAACTACTTTTAACATATATTTTGTTTGAAATATGTCTTTATTGATACAGCATGTGTATATAAAACAGAGTTTCCTACGCAGAGGAAAAGTGAGTTATATGACAAAATAATCCAATAACAATAATCATATAGAACATATTAGCCCCTAAATAGGGAGCCGTATTCAGGAAGCCTTCTGTTTTGTGGTCCGTCAAATGAGAGTCTGTTTGCTCAGATAGAGCATGTTGTCATCCCGTCAGTCACCCACTTTCCCCCAGTCCCCATCTATGGGCCGATCCAGGAGGGGCTTGCCAGTCCGGAGGCCCACCATCCAAGCGGCTCCTGGCAAAGGGTCGGGATAGGGGATAAAGATGAGAGATGAGAAGAAATGAGAGAGAAAAAGGAAAGAGAAGAAATTTAAAAAAAAAAAGAGGGTGGGTGTTATTGGTCTGTTAACCATTCAACAATCCGGTAAAATCTGCGGAGGATAGGAACTCCAACCAGTAGAACCACCATTGGGCATATCTTTCTCTTTCCTTGACTGTGGTGGTTTTCAAGTCTTCAAATTTTCTGTGTCCTCGACTTCCTCCACCCACTGTGTTGTCTTAGGTGTCTGTCGCCAGTAGGTCGGAATTACAACTTTAGCTGCATTCAAGAGTTTTGGATTGCCCTGCCTTTGTAGTTCTGTACTGCGTTAGAGGTGTGGTGCAACAGGTATGTCACTGGTTCCATAGGTGGGGGCTCCTCTAACAGTCTCCCCACCACCTGGCTAACCGCTTCCCAGAATGGTTTGATCAATCTGCATGCCAACCACACATGTAGGAATGTGCCTCGATCCTCTCCGCAGTGCAAGCAGAGGTCTAGTACCTCCGGGTCCCATCAGTGTGGTGTGGTCGGTGTCAGGTACCATTTCGTAAGGATCTTACAGGAATTTTCCTGTACTCTTACTGATGCTGGTGTCTTCTGGATGAGATTGAGCATTTTGGCCCAGCCCGCTTCTGTAAATGGCTGCAGGAGATCCTCTTCCCAGCTTTTAATGCACGGGTGTGGTAGTAAGTAGCATTTTGTCACTAGCATGGTGTATTCCGCAGAGGGGTTATGGTGTGAAGTAATCACAAAAAGTGCTAATTAGAAAAAAAGGAAAAAACCTTCAGTTAAAGGGACACTGTAGTCACCTGAACAACTACAGCTTAATGTAGTTGTTCAGGTGAGATCTATAGCTCCCTGCATGCAATCTAAGGTAAACACTGTATTTTCTGAGAAAATACAGTGTTTACATTGATTGATAGGTATACCTCCAGTGGCCGTCACTCAGACGGCCACCAGAGGGACTTAGAAACATAGAATGTGATGGCAGATAAGAACCATTCGGCCCATCTAGTCTGCCCAATTTTCTAAATACTTTCATTAGTCCCTATCCTTATCTTATAGTTAGGATAGCCTTATGCCTATCCCACGCTTGCTTAAAATCCTTTACTGTGTTAACCTCTACCACTTCAGCTGGAAGGCTATTCCATGTATCCACTACCCTCTCAGTAAAGTAATACTTCCTGATATTATTTTTAAACCTTTGTCCCTCTAATTTAAGACTGTCTTCTTGTTATGGTAATTTTTCTTCTTTTAAATATAGTGTCCTCCTTGACTGTGTTGATTCCCTTTATATATTTAAAAGTTTCTATCATATCCCCCCTGTCTCGTCTTTCCTCCAAGCTATACATGTTCAGATCCTTTAACCTTTCCTGGTAAGTTTTATCCCGCAATCCATGAACCAGTTTAGTAGCCCTTCTCTGAACTCTCTCTAAAGTATCAATATCCTTCTGTAGATACGGTCTCCAGTACTGTGTAGAATACTCCAAGTGAGGTCTCACCAGTGTTTGGAACAATGGCATGAGCACTTCCCTCTTTCTACTGCTAATACCTCTCCCTATACAACCAAGCATTCTGCTAGCATTTCCTGTTGCTCTATTACATTGTCTGCCTACCTTTAAGTCATCAGAAATAATCACCCCTAAATCACTTTCCTCATATGTTGAGGTTAGGACTCTTATCAAATATTCTGTACTCTGCCCTTGGGTTTTTACGTCCAAGATGCATTATCTTGCACTTATCCACATTAAATGTCAGTTGCCACAATTCTGACCATTGTTCTAGTTTACTTAAATCATTTGCCATTTGGCTTATCCCTCCTGGAACATCAACCCTGTTACATATCTTAGTATCATCAGCAAAAAGACATACCTTACCATCAAGACCTTCTGCAATATCACTAATAAAAATATTAAAGAGAATGGGTCCAAGTACAGATCCCTGAGGTACCCCACTGGTGACAAGTCCAAGCTTCGAATATACTCCATTAACTACAACCCTCTGTTGCCTGTCACTCAGCCACTGCCTTACCCATTCAACAATATTGGA